ATTTATATATTTTTATCTTTACTTAGATACTTTTGGTTAAAGGAAAATTGAATATTGTTTCTTTGTTTTCTTTTCCACTTTTTTATGGTTTCAAAATGAGATTGATTTTTAGAAAAGAAAATGTTTTTATATTCTATAACTTTGTTTCCAATAATACAAAGTTTTTGAATATTGAGTTTAGGGTTTTGAAGGACAATCATTTTAATGAATAATAAATAGGTATTTAAGAACTTCTGTTTCAAATATTAATATATTATTCGTTATTTATATCAGATGAAAGAAAAACAAAAGGAAAATTGAAACAAAAAACTTAATCAATGACAGAATATTCATTGTTAGATACAGATAGAAGATAATTATTAAATTCCAAAAAATAATCGTTGCATTTTTTTTCAAGATTCTTTATCATTAATATCATTAATGTTTTTGGTGCCTTATGATCAATCGTTATTCAAGTACTTGAGAATGCGGAGTAAATACAAGAAAAGCTGAATGATATCCAAATAAAGGTTCAGTGCTGCGAAAATATATTCTTCTGGTGAAATGGAGTATTTATGATCTCCGCCCATCATCAATTGAGTGTCGTAAACAATGTAAATAGAGAATAAGCCTGCTCCAAAACAAGCCATTATGAATTGCAAGAATTCGCTTCGGAAGAAGAATGCCCCGATCAAGCTTCCAACCGTGAAAATAATCAAAATAATACACAACGCTCCACCACAAACTGGAATAAAAAAAATTGAAGCATAATTTAAATTTATCTAATAATTAAAATAAACATTCCCTCTTACCAGTGAAGTCGAACCTAGTTTGGAAGGCAAATATTGTCAAACCAATGACAATGATAGTAGTCAAACCAACTGCTAACAAAACCTTTGGATTAAGAAACAAAAATCACAAATTTAGAATTTTCTAATTGTTTACTTTTTTTTTCTGATTTCTTACGATTTTTGCTTCATATGTCGAAGAAATGAATCCAACGACAACTGATTCACAGAGAGTAAAAGCTCCCAGTAATATGATGTTGGTAGGAGAGTTACGACGAGCATTTTCACAACAAGCAATAACACAAACCAACACAATTGTTCCAACCGCTGGTATAATCATCAATTGAGGATTCTGGTGAGCGAATCTTTTTGTTGGTTCATGAAAGCCCATCAAACCGACAAAAGCAACAGTCACAAGCAATTGTATCTAGAAAAAAAAATTAATTTCAATATTCGAAAGGATTTTTAAATGTGGAAAATGGTGAAAAATGTTCAGTTCTCCGCTTATTTTTTTAACCAGGTGGATCATGTTATTAACGTTTTGTTTGTTTTTCTTAGTCAATTTTTGTTTAAGTAAAAAATTATTGAATTACACGTTTGGAACTTACCGATAAAATGGAATAAACACGACGAATGAAGCCAGCACGAATTGATTTGTCGTCAAATCCAAAACCCTTCGCGTAGTTTGGGTCTGTGTCATCCTAAATAAAAAATGAATAATGAAGATTTCTTTAAGTTTTTATTGAAATGTAAGATCAAAAAAATTAAAATTACCATATAAGGAGGATTCAATGGTTTCCCCTGAGCATCATATCCAGGCTGGTCTGGATTTGGATTATAAGGTCCTGGTTGACTTGGATATCCTAAAAGCATTAGAAATTTTTTTTTTTCTTAAAGCAATTTCATCAAATCTTTACAAAGTGTAGAAAATTGTATCTATTACACAATTTATTGTGAAGATTGCAAATTTATATTTAGCCTTGTCAAATAATTTTTGTATGTAGAGATATTGAATATTATGTATCTTCAACTTGTTATGTGATAAGAGAGAAAATAATTAATTTAAGTGCATTTTACTGAAAATTGTCAAAACTTTGATGCATGTTTCCTTATAAAATAATTTTTATCTTCAAAAGATGTTTTCAAAAACAATATAAATTAAGCGAAAATTCTAAATCCTTCCATTGACTGACTACAGTTTTCATAGGAAGATTGTATCATGAACAGTTAGTGACAGTTTGAAGTGCTTTAAAAATAATAATTATTAATGTTTAACTATTTCTTCACAGAGTTTTTGATAATTGTTTCCTGCTTAGCAGCAGTGACTTTTGCCAGCCCAGTTGACGATATAACTGTCGAGTACCTCGCTAATGGAGAAATGAGATGCAGAATTAACTGCAATCGTAATCGAAATCGAAATCCTATCAGTCCATGGAACGATTGCCCACCAACAAACTGTCCACCACCCTTTAGACCACCCAATTGTGGCGCTCCAGATTGTTCCAACGTTGCAAACAGAGTTAGAGGAGTTCATTTTGATCATCCCAATGATCCAAATCGATTCATTGTTTGTGCCCCACTTGATGCTGTTACATGGGCTCCTAAAGAACAATGGTGTGGATGTGGAACTGTTTTCAGTTCCGTTTCAGATCCAAGTAAATGTGTTCATCCTTGGGATTGGGAACCAGCATGCCCGTCTCAACAAAACCCGCCAGTTTTAAGGTATATTTTTAAAACATAGCAAAGCTGTTATTGTATGTTTAAATAACAAAACTTTTTTAATTAGCACTGAAAACTGTGGAGAAGACTGTCCTGATTGCGATAATGGTAATGGTGGTGGTGGTAATGGTGGTGATAGTAGTGAAGAAGGTGACGAAATACCTGATACTACCCCATCACCACCAGGAAATTGCCCATGTCCATGCATATGTAAATATTTAATGCTTATGTTTTCTTGTTTTCATAAAATAATCTTATTGTGTGATCAGGTATTATGTGGCCGTGTCAGCCTTGCGCTTCTAATTGCCAATGTAATGGACAACAACCACAAAGACCACCAATGAATCCATGGGATCAACAGCCACAAAGACCACCAATGAGACCAGACAACCGTCCAAATAACAATCCTCAACAACCACAAAGACCACCAATGAGACCATGGGATCAACAACCACAAAGACCACCAATGAGACCAGACAATCCGTGGGAGCAGAACCCTGATGATACTTGGAATAGACAACCAAACGAAAGACCCGATAATTCATGGCAACATCGTCCAAGACAACCTTGGAATCAACAACAAAACGATCATTGGCGCCAAATGGATGCCACTGATGACGAAGAATCCAATTAAACGACACTTACGCGGCACGAACATATGATATTTCTTAAAACATGTGATGATCATGTTATATTTAACCACTTACAGGCTTATTAAATACTTATTGATGCAAACTTTCCTATAACCATTATTGATAAAGATATATACAAAATTGAAAAATAAAAATATCATGCAGAAGTAAGCAAGCAAATTAAAACTGTCAATTTTTTAATAGCTCTTTAGGAATAATCTTTTTAAGAGCTATTAGGTAGTTTGCAATCGATCATGATTTCAGTGCTGCATTTTGCTTTTGAAGCAGCCAAAAAATACTTTTATAACCGAGGGTGTAAAAACTGCTGTTATAAATAGCAGAAATAGAAATTTAAAACAGAGGAGTATCTACTCGAAGATAAAAATAAGCTGAATGTTCTAAGAAATTTAAAAGATCGATTCCGGAGATGAGTACAGATATCGTTACATATCACACATATTATATAGGGTAAACAAGGTATTGTTTCAAATAAATAATTTATTTACCTGCTTGCGGTGGATATCCTGGTTGCTGTGGATAACCTGAACAAAATATAAAAAATTATCATCTGAAGGCATTCGAATTATTTTTTGGTTCTTACCTGTTTGTGGTGGATATCCTGGTTGTTGTGGATAACCTAAATGAATGAAGAAATTATAATCTGAACGTATTAAATTTACTTTCTTTGGCAGTTACCTGTTTGTGGTGGATATCCAGGATTAGAAAATCCTACACTTGGAGGTGGTGCATATCCTCCTTGGTAACCCGGAGCTGATTATGAATTATGAAAAAATTACATGAATGCTAATAAATTCAGTTATGAAATACATTACCGCCATATCCAGGCATTTGAGCTCCAGCAGGAGGGTACGGAGCTCCATAAGGAGCTCCTGATGGATATTGATTGCGGTCATCAGTTGGATCTTAAAAGAATTTTATATTAAATTTTAGGAAAAAAGATTCTATTGAGTTTAATAATTTAAAAGCTAGTGTCAAGTTTTAGTAATTGAGTTTGTATGACTCATTGTTTTTTTTTATATTCGTTTTAATTGACAGACGCAAATTGTCGTAAATTTAATAAAGAAAGCTTGCTTCTTGGAACAACTTAGGATATCAAAAAAAATCTTAACTGCTTGACAACAATGATTATTTAGCATTTGCACAATTAATTAATCGAATTCAAAGACATTCCGCGAATTTCGTCATTTCTAAAACTTTTCTGATAACTTTGACTTACAAGGTGCCGACATTTTTGTCTTTTACAGTAACAACGCAAATGTTGAACGAAAGTTTTACACCTTATTTCACAAGATCAAGTGATTTATAATAAAAAGGATAATATCTTTGAAGGATAATAAAAAGGTAGTAAACAAAATATTTAATTTTTTTCTTTATTCTCTTCTATCACAAAGTTGTCTACCAAAAATGATTATAGATGTCGCGCAATACGGAAAAGGTTAATGTTAACACTCTCTACCTGAAACTAGCCTCTCCAAAGTTAGTTTCAGGTGGAGTGTGTAGCGCACGGAGAAAATGAGTGCACGGAATAAAATTAAAATCAAACCTGCTTTGTATGGAAATCGTGTTTTGGTCAAATCCACGCAAGTCGATTTCGGTCAGTCCGACGTCAATCATTTTCACCATAACCGAGGGGAATATAAGTTCACCACGTTACATAAATTTTTTTTGTTGACTTCCTGCGGAGTATTTTTTGTCTTTTATTATCGACGAAAAAAAGTAATTGAATAACTTTAAAATATTTTTATGCTGCAAATTAGACATATTAATTTATTTATTACATCTTACATCCTTTAGATTCATATAAAGATGCTTCGTAATGCAATAGTTTCGTCGTGTTCTCTTCTGAGCAAAAATAACTCGCAAATTCTTAAATCGATTGGAGTTTTTGGTGTTAATAATCAACAGAAACGAGAACAGAAAACCATGCCAGTTGTTGGAAAAGATTCAGTAGAGAACCTTCCTGGTTCAGCTTTCGGATGGTAAACTTTGAAAACTATTTCTTTTAGGTCATAAAATATTATTTTTTTAGGAAACAATCAAACTGGGCTGATTGGACTGTTGCACGTTTGGATGATGTTTTGAATTGGGGACGTAAAGGTTCTTTATGGCCACTGACTTTCGGTCTTGCTTGCTGTGCTGTAGAAATGATGCATATAGCTGCTCCGAGATACGACATGGATCGTTATGGTGTTGTATTTCGTGCATCTCCACGTCAAGCTGATGTTATCATTGTAGCTGGAACACTCACCAACAAAATGGCACCTGCTCTGCGAAAAGTATATGATCAAATGCCTGAGCCCAGATGGGTTATTTCAATGGGATCATGTGCAAATGGTGGCGGATATTATCACTACTCTTATTCAGTAGTTCGTGGATGTGACAGAATCATACCAGTTGATATTTATGTCCCTGGCTGTCCACCAACAGCTGAAGCACTTCTCTATGGAATTCTTCAGCTTCAAAAGAAAGTAAAACGTATGAAGACACTTCAAATGTGGTACAGAAAGTAAATGAATAGAAATAAATTTAATTCTCAAATGTTCGAGAACAGCTAAATTAAAAGCAAAAATATTTGTGTAAATAAAAAATCAAACAGAATTTTTATCTTTGTGAGTTTTTTCTGTTGATTTATCAATGACTTTATTTCACCTAGTTTTTATTTTTTATAAATTTTGATGATATTGTTCGTTATGTATGAGTTGTATTCGAAAAAGTTGTTTAATGTTTTGAAACTGTGACGAAAAGGAATGGTTTTGCAACAAATAAATGTCTAGGTTTGTCATAAATTTGCTTCAGAAAAAAGAAAGAAAAAGGTTTTAATGTCCAACACCTAATCTTACAATCAAAAAGCTTGACTTTTTACTGGCAACATTTTATCTTTCTTCATACTTAAATAGTATCTCAAAGCAATGTATTTCTCTCAATTGAAGCGAACCTCTGTTGCAAAAATCAGCCTGCCTTACATTCTAGAATAGCTTAAATTTACTTTTCCCAATGTTTATAGTGATAATAAAGTAAATCAATGAAATAATCACAAAAAAAAGCAAAAATTTTCTTGCATTGTCTAATGTCAAGACAAATTAAGTCAATTGTCTTTTCGTTTTGGTATGAAATTTTCTCAAGTGACTAAATCAATATCGAAGAGAATATCTCTTGAACTTGTAAATAAAATCAATCCCAATTAAGAATAAACTTAAAATCTAATAGCTTCAGGTAGTTAACTAATATCAATGTGATCCCGATACAAGAATGCTTAAAATTAAATTCTTCTTAATTTTATAAATCGACAAATGACTTTCACATGAAATGGCTTTGGGTTTGAAAAACGTAAAATTGTCTGAGAAAAGCTCTTACAAACTAAACCGATAGTACTCTATTGCACCATCAACGAACTCCTATTTTAACACAGCTAACACATTTAAAAGTTAAATTAATCTATAGATGCATAGTTTTAGCGTAATTTAATAAATGTGATTTATAATTACTTTGTTTTTTTTTTCCTTTTCTGTGAAAAAAGATAAAATTTTAGATCAAATATAAACGACTTTATATTCGGTAAGAATTTCTGATAATGAATGAGAAACTTTAATCTAATAATCGTAAAAAACTTAGATGATCGAAAGGTTTGAGAATGTTTTGAGGTGTTTGTATCAATAACATTCATACATGCAATTTTTACGACTTTAAGCGAGTCAAATTGATGTCGAGGACGGGAAATTTTCACAATAATATTGTAGACATTTCTCAAATGAAAATTTCTCGCCGAATAATATGATTTGAATATCAGAAGTATTTTAAAGGAATGATACTTTACTTTTACCTTCGGTACAAAACACTTGCCAAAGAATATTTTCGCACGTAAGAAGAAAGTTTCTTTCCTTCGGCAACTACTGTGTATGCATTTCTTATTCATTGACAAATATAATCATTTTAAGACTTTTTATGTGCTAGACAATCAATTAGCATTGAAAGCCGACTTTTTTAAAGGATACACAAAAATTTTACTGCGAGCATCACACAATTTATAGATTTAAAAAATATTTTCAATGAAAACAAATTTAAAATGATATCAAATCATCTTTACTTCAATCTGTTTTCTCAGCTGGTGCTGATTTTTCAGGTCGGATTTTCTTCAAATATGGTCCGATGACAGCATTTATGTGATTCAATACCAACTTTATGATTCCCTTTGCTTTCAAGCCAGGATACATTGCAAGAATAAGAACTGTCAAATATACCAAAAATAGGTTGTTGAATGTCGAACCTATCCAAGCGAGCGCAATAGAACCAGCAGTTACAGTTATCAGATACTAAAAACAAATATTTATTAATTTACTTGTCATAATTTTCTAATAAGCTTGACTTACAAAAGTTGACCTTTCACTTCTGCTGCTGAAAAATGAACAAATTGCTGAGCAAATACTGAGTCTGACATCGACAATATCCTGGATGACTTGTTCATAGAGTTTCTCTTGTGAGCCACTCCAGTTTTCAGCTTTAAATATGAATTTTGAGATCAAAGGATATCCGTAATCCAATACCGTGACAAAAATTGTTATCAAAGCAATGAGTGTCAGAGTGCTAAAGTCCAACCACCAGAGAATTATGAAGAGTAGAGTGAGAACTCCACCAATGATGCCTGGAAAAAAGTTCTGTTCCCATTTTAAGATGTTGTTTAATATAAGCAAGAGTTCACGATACACTTCTAGGTCGTGCTTGACTTTGTTGAAAACTTTTTTCTGAAATTGTAACAAAATTATTGATTTTTCTTTTGTTTGGATGAAAATTTCATTTAAAATCTTACTTTATCGTTTTCCATCGTTTTATTTTTGTATTTTCACTGAAACTTATTTTTATTTCTTATTTATTCGCTGTCTTGTATAGATTTACAATGCTTTTCTTTTCAATCTTTCAAAGAATCAGATTTTTTCTGTTTAATTTGACAATTTTTTCAGAAAGACGCAATTTTCGTTATGACACGACGTTCAAAACGAGAATCACAAAAAAATGTTTTCGAAGTTTACTTTAAATCTTAAATAAAACTTCAAACGTAAAAAACAATCTTATTAAAATCTTTTTATAAACTTTAGAATCATAAAACGTATAAAATATGGAAAGCTTAGGCAATATATTATTGGTTTTCGAATACCAATATTTTATTTGAAAAGATTTTAAAAGGATACATCGGATTAATCTTCTTCAATGAAGTTGCTATACTATTTTATTTAAAATATAAAAAACCGTTAAACTTTAGAATTACTAATTACCTACCTGTAAGTTGATTGTTGCCCCCAAACTTTAAACTTGAAAAATGTTTTAATTCTCAGAAGCTATAAATTTTCTTCTGAATTTAAAATATCATCATGTCCATGATTGCTGCTACATTTTTATCATATTATCCCCTTTGATAGTTTCATCATCATTGTTTTTTTCCCTCTTTATCTTTCTTTTCTTATTCATTTTCTTACCTCAGACGCCTGTTTCTCTCTTTTTTTTTAAAGTACACAACATACAGACTGAAGTCATTCAATCCTCTACGCATTATTCTCTCAGCCTTCGGCCAGATCTGTTGCATTTTTCAGTTTCTGCTTGTTTCTTTAAGTTTTTTATTTTGGTGTACTGTTTTGGGTACCTAAATTATTTAAAAAGCGTGAGAGACTAAGAAAAAAGAAAAGAAGAATTTCTTCTAGCAATAAACTGATTCGAAATAAAACGTTGTCGGAACATTAGCAATTTTATGAAGAAATATCTAAGTAGGCAATAATAGTTCATAATTGGGAAGGTGGCAAAATCGTGTTATTCTCAACAGGTTAATTTGATAAAGTGAAGAAATACTTAAAGAACAATTATCAACGAGCTTTGGACGTTCTCTTATACTACCACAAGTCAACAAGTGAATTATAATTTTGTTTTAAAGCTTTCATATGTGTAGGTTGAAGCAAGAGTTGAAGTTTGAGAGAACCGCATTTTAAATTCCATCGAGTTTTATTTATTTTTAAACAATCACTTAAGTTTGATAAATTTCGGAAGTTTTACCGGAATCCTATGAAAACTGATGACCAATAAGTGCCATAAACATTGACTTAGCATCACGCACTCGCCGACCTTCTTATTACTTGGATATTTTGGGTGATAACAGCTCATCATGGCTTCTTATAATGAACTTCAATTTGATTGGGAAATATTCTTGGAGAATATCAGAGGATCAAGAAATGGTACAACAGTTGGTGAGTAAACTATTTCATTCATTTAAATCTTCACAGTATTAGAATAGTGTATGAATTAATGTTAACGTCCTCGATAAGTAATTAAATGACATCACTCCGAGAAACAGGTTCCAATTCATTACTAAATCATTTCACCCTTTTCTCACCGTCTTCTATGCAAATTTAATATTTTCTCGAAACGTGTTACATTACAATCGAATATCAAAAACTTTGAGAAAGATTTCGACATTTGCATAATTTATGAATTCAGATAATCTTCTTTAGTTAAATTTTTTTGAAGGATTGAAAATGCTTTGTTGCTCTTATCTACACCAATATCTCACGTTTGTGTTTTTTGCTGCTGTTATTCAACTATTGCAAGATAAGAGTTGATAAGAGTATTGAATTAATTGCATAAATGACTACCGAGGAGAATATCTTTCAATTACCGTTTTGTACTTTGATTTCAGGCTTAATTGCTCCATTTACCTGAAGATATTGTTGATAACGTTCATCAGTTGTAAATAAATAACTCTCTTTAGTAAAAATTATTAGTCGTTGAATACAACTGAGTCATAAATCAATTTTTCGAATAATTAATATCGGTTTTCAATCAGTAAATAGTGATTAGAAATTAATTTCTCACATTTTTAATATTGAAGTGATCAAGAGAATTGTTTGTGGAAAGTTTTCATAAGTACTATGACTACTTTTCTCTTTTATTGCTTCAAAATCTGATACATTAGCATATTATATACGACAAAATTGCAGTTGCATTTATGAACCTGTGGGAACATTCGAACTGCCTAATTATGGTGGGAAACTGACGACAAAAAGCTTTGAAAGACAAGAGTATAACGGTTAACTGAACGTGATTAACCAGCTCAGACAGCGAAGCATAACTAATAAAGATGCCAATTCGGACAGCTTTTGAAAATAAAATCTCAGCTTGATGTTCACGGCTCATTGGAAGAAATCAAAGTTTGATTTGCGTTCTTTTCTATTGACTAAGTAATGTTTTCACTTCGGTTTCACTAACAATGAGTTGCTAGAGAAATTTTTGTCTTCCTCCTTCTGAAACGATGACAAACTAACCCACATTATCTTTTCAACAGACAGACAACCCAAATCTGTCTTGATGGTCATTAACCCATAGAGATACTTTTAAAATTATTAAATATTTATAAAAATTCGCCGACTGGAACACTAAGACGAGACAAAGTGTTTGTAATTATTGGTTAGTTGAACAGGTATAAAGTTGATATCTTAATTTTAAAGTCTTTTGTCGAGGATCCTTTTTGCCTTCTGTCTTGATAAATTTTATTGCTTCATAAAGTCGTAATTATTTCATGCAAAATTGGTTTCTAATGAGGTCGTCTTTGACTCTTTTTTAATCACTTTTTGAATGCATCTTTTGTCTTCTGTGACAGAAAATACTCCAACAATTGTAAAAAGTTAAAAATAAATAATCAGGAAGTATTGTCTTGACGTTTGAAATTGAATGAAAGAACCCAAAAATAATTCTGTAATTGTTTTCTTACTGTACCTGTTCTGTCAAACCGTCAGCTGGCCTAATGAATTACGAAAAAAATTATTTTTCTTGACTTTAAGCTCAAAGATCGCGACACAAATATCTACAAATTATTGTAGGAAAATTCTACTTTTATTTTCGTAAATCTCATTAATTTTTTCTTCTCCTGAAACAATCTAAAGTCAATTGCCGTCCCAATATTACGACCAGGTCATAAATAAAATCGTGATTTAAGTTAATCGAATATAAAACTTAAATTTTAAAGAGTTCACCTCAGTGTTATGGTGGTAATAAATAAATGCAACTTGTTGTTCAATGATGGTGCAAAAAGAAATGAAACACGGCAGAAATTATTTTGAAAGAAGGCTGATGACATTAAGGGCAAAATATTTGAAAAATTCTCAATACGAGATTTTCGCTTGCATTTAAGTAATTATTTTTGAGACTTATTTTAGATCATTTCGTGATTTATGTTTTGTTAAATTGTGAAATTCCTTTATAGCCACATACAGCAATATCATTTGTTTATTTATTTACATAACTTCTGAAAGACATGAAAAGATTTTTGAGATAAACCGAAAGATTATTTCGCTTTGATTAGTACGCGTGGGAGTGGCTCAGATGATTGATTTATTGAAACTATTTATTTAAAGCGTATTTGCTAGTTAATTATCTATGGTGGGAAAAATGATAATTTGGAAAGAAATCCACTCAAAATACTAAATTTCTCTGCCCTTTGAGCATAACCCGACCTAGGTAGTTGAATATTAAGTCTTCAATAGTTATTCAATGTTTATGACAGTAATGCTTTTCATAAATATTACGACATTGTTTTCACTTCCATTTAAATTATGAACATTTTAGAGATTTATTCGTTACTAAGCATTAATGCTTTGCGTGTCATAGATCAGTCAAAATTTTTAGCGAATTGTCATCCTAAACGATTTCTTTATTCCATGCCGAAATTATCATCACAAAAGCCATCAACTTTGTAAATTATAGTATAAATATCTATCTTTGTCAATGCAGTAAATAACCGTATAAGTAGAGAGTCAAATTATCCCGTTTATGCCGCTGCTTCGAAATGATTAATCAGCAAAGACCTGATCATATATTTTTGCGCGGCCATTGCGCAATGAATTTTCTTTGCTCTCGATTCCAATTTCGGTAACTTTCATCATTAAAACATAGACTTGCCATTTGCGGTTTCTGACAACTCTCACCTGCATTTGCACATTGCATCAGCTTCGATATTTTTTTCTCTTTTATAAAACAGGAAATTCTTTCTAAAAAAGAAAGAAAACTCAGATAATTGAAATCATGTCTCACGTACTGGAGGAAAGAATTTCAAATGGCAAAAGAAAAAGCGAAAGAGTATTAAATAATAACATCGTCTCCATCATCATTGCCAGCTCACACCCCTATAAACAAGCCGAAAACGAAACATCTTAATAACAAAGAAATGTCTTAAAGGAAAAGTAAATTAATGGTAGACTTTTACTTCGACTTGTCACACCTCCATTTTTCCTTCTTTAGTTCAGACAGACCGAAGTGGATTACTTAACAAACCTTCTCGTTTGATTACAACAAAACACTTTCAATATGTCATTTCGTAGCATTTATTCTTCCATATTTCATTTTCACTTTCGTTTGTGACTTTCGTTGATGTCAATTGAATAAAATTATAAATAACAAACAAGCAGAAGAGTTTGATCATTTCCATGTTGATTGGAACGTTTTTTGTGTAAACTTTTCCTTTGTTCACTTTTTAACTTACCACTTAATTCATTGTCAATGAGCTTACGATATCGGAACATCAAATGAATCGTGATTTATTAACACGTCTTTACGCATTCTACTTCACTCATTGAATCTGGCTATGAAATTGCTTTCCTTTTAACTCTATGTAAATGATTGCAGCTTGGGTAAGTTGTAATTGGGATTTCAACCGCGCTAATATTTTATGCCCCATTAATACTTCTAAAAATGAAAGAAAGAAAGATTAATTGAATATTGACAGGAAGTAGACGGAATTCGCCAATATATTGTTTGTTGTTAAACTTCAATAACTTTTAGGTAATGGTAGATACCTAATTCTTTTCACTGTAAATGTGAGGAAATTATTTATCAGCAAGCTGTTGAAAAGTTCAACAACTAATTGATTGAAGTTGATGACTGATGGACACCCGCTGCGGTAAAAGAAATGCTTGAATTTATTTATTTGCATAGCTTTAAAGAGTTAATTATTTTTCATTTTAAAAATTTTGAAGCAGGCAATTTTGAATGCCGCTAAAATCTACGTAACTCCTTCAAGATCAATGTGAAAGCTTTTATCTTTACCACTTTATTAAAACTGTTTCGCAATAAAGAGAATGGAATCACCGTTATCAAGAAAATATTCACGATTTACACTCGATTCCAATCAATAAACAATATTCTTGTTTAAGAACTGGATCTGGATGTGCTTGTAATTTCCTTCATGCATTCAGAAAATGATACATATTTGAGATATTCTAAACTACGTTTGGTTTATTAAACTAATAATAACATAACATATACGTTGAATGTGCTCATTCTTAAGAGTATTTACAGCAACAAGTAACTCAGGGCGATTCATGCAATTATCTTCTCTTTGAGCAACCCAGAAATGGATTTGCAAGAAATGATTTCTTAATTGAATATTGAGCAGAGCTTCGTACGTTTAAATTTCATTATGCTTACCAAAATGTCACCAAATAATCCAACAAATTGTTTTGGAGTTGTAAAATATTTTCAAGTAGACATTTCCTTAAAATTTAACATGAAAATGACAAAAATCTGTTATGCAGCTGTTTACATAAGAAAATGTGATTTTTTATGTAATTGTTTTAGAGATCTCGTGATTGAGCTTTAAAAAGCCTCAGAATTAATTTCAAGATTTTCGTGCTTTAAAATACCTTAACTTCTAAAATGCTCAAGCTGTATAATAATTATTAATTAATTTCTTCTTCACCTAAGGCAATCAAAAGTAACCTTAAGAGATAATTTGTTGCTTCAAAACTCACGAAATAAATATCCAAATAGGTGTGAAAAGATGCCATCAAAAATCTGTTGTGAGCAAACAAGATGATGAATTCATTAAATTGAAAATTAATAGATACATGAATGGATAATTGAACAGATTAAAAAGAAACAAAAAGGTTATTCAAACATTGTTTCCATATTCAACAAGCTAGTTTTGTAATAAGCAAAAGATTTTTTAATTTATAATTGAAAAATTGCAATGAGGTTTTTTTAGCTTAAATGATCAGTTATGTGACAAAATGTTAAAAATGAATAAAAACTTAATTATGTGGGTACGTGATCTGGAAATTTATAAGATATTTAAACCGATATTTGAACAGATATTTCTTTGATTATTCTTTATACAAATAAAATAGCAAACAACTTGTTTAATAATCAACTATTAAGTGAATGAAGAAGAGAAAAACGAAGTCGACTGTTAAACATTCTATAGAAATTAATTTATTTGTGATAAATCAACACTGCCGTAAAAAGTTTTACGATAAAATACCCGCAGGCTTTGGAATGATTTGATTTTTTCAAGCACTTAAAACAATTGACAGTATGCACCAATTAATAAAAAATTATTGAAATTACATTATTAGACAAATATATATAAAAAAATAAATATTTATGGAATAATTTAAAAGACATTACGAAAATTTTTGTATTTATTAGTTCGCATAATAAATATATGAAAAACGATTCATTTTTGCACCGTCATCAAAGCATAACGAACAAAATGCAAGCTCTTTATTGCTATTTTGCTTGAACAAATGAAAAAAATCATAAATAAAACGTTAACCAAACGCTTGATTGGCATATCTGATTTAAACTGGATAAATGAAATTGTTTTACAATTTCTCAACCGTGATCGCGCCTTGACGACACTAGTTATATCGCGTTGTTAAATATTTTCTTCTTATTTTATCTACACTGTCGAAAGGTGCGTTTGGACTTGGTCTTGTTTGCAATATATCTAAAGGAAATCATTAGGGAAATTGCAATCGTAAGTTTACAACATACATGCGGTCAGACGGCGTGCACATTTGAAAAAAATATGCGTTGTAAAATGTTTAAGGCACTCGCTCGTACATTATTATGAACAACAAAAAGTTAGCTAGCAAATTAATTTATGGCTTCAAGGGATAATTATTTGACTCATTTCTCCACGAAGTATGTGAAGCTCGTGCAAGAACAAGTAGGTAAATTACAAAATGTCGATGGCGATGAAGAAGTTTATACTTAGTTAGATTATCTCTCTAATAGATTATCACTATCTAGTTAAAAACATTTCTTTTTTCTGTTTTATCGCCTGAAGGAATTACAAAATTTCCATTTATGTCAATCAAGCCAAACGAAAGTAATATGAAAATTTAACATGCTCATCAAATATTTACTCAAGTTACATTGAATGTTGACATGTGTTTTGAATGTGATAAACGACAATCGCCTAATGTGATGCAATAGATCTGGTCGATTCAAGAGAGTGGCGATTGAAAAGTTATTAAATTGATGTGAATGAACTAACTAACTATAGTTTTTTGTGTATTTTTCCACCTAAACGTTTCAAAAGGCGCACACACAAGACAATTGAATTTTTTCTATATTTTCACAGCCATCAACCATAACTAATATTTCATGCATTTTACGCATGTTTAGGTCGAGCGAGAAAGGCGTAAATCAAACGTTTTCATTTCTCTAAAAGAAGTCATTAGAGGACTTTCATTTAGTAAGGGCACTATTAAAATTAGCATCAAAATTTAAAAGAGATCAAGTGCAGTTGTGCATGAAAATTTCTCACAGAAATCCCATGCTGTTGACTTTTCTCAGCTTTACTTGGCAATATTTTATGTTGTGGACTTTCACGAAAGTTTTATTGTTTTGCCTTCTATTCGAAAAATCATCATAATTCATAAGTTCAGTTTTACTGCTTGGGAAATTCGAAAATAAAAAACACCAAATCACTGTTTTAATGTCGATAAATGGTCAGTCATTTACATCTCGATAAAAAGAAAAGTGGAAAGAACGATAACTAATTGCCACTTGATTGTGAACAATAATTTAATAATACTCACGTTTAGTTTTTGTTTTATTGGAAAGGTGAATCTTGTCGCTTTCTGAATTATGCAATCAAACAACATGATGTTGCTGATGTTATTTAGGGGTTTCAATTTTTTATCGATGATATATTTTTCCACGTTCTCTTTTATTTTGCTTAAAAATTGATTACATGATTAAAGTTGAAACCGGTACAAATATCAAAGAAAAAGAATTAATGTTAAAAAAAATTGCTCTGAAAGTGAAAGCATTCGTACAAGATTAATATGTTCATAGTCTTCCATAAGACTTTTTTTCCTTAATTTTGTATGCTGATTTTTATCTTAAAGTGACCGGCTGCACTGCCTCGATTTCATAAATTTTTTGTTAATTCGAACCTCCAATTGGCAAAGAAAACTAAATTCAATCGATTGAAATATTTGGCCAATAGATATAGATATTTATTTGCAACATTCATTCAGTATATCAAACAGAAAAGGTAGAAGAAGAAAAAGAAGAAGAAAACATTTGTGCTCAAAATTTAAAGTTAGAGTTAAGAAGTGTAATCACGCAAGAGAATGAAATTACTTCGCGCCCATTGAATGAAAAGTCATTGAACCCGATCGACCAGAATGTTTCTTTTTAAAATTATGTGTAGATGTTACAAGTTGTACACCAACAACATTATTATGCTGCATTGCAATATGTTCGTGGTTTTTATTGATGAATTTCTACAAACAGGTTTTTTCTTCTTGTTATTCACATTTGTGATCTTTTCCGTCATTCTTGATTGAAGTTGAAATAAATATCTCTAAAGCAGAGAACGAGTTGTTTCTTCTACAACAAAAAATGTTTGAAGAAATGGTTGAAATGAGAGATAAAGTTTTAAGTTTTGAAATTATTTTCTCGAATCAGTAGAAACACGAGAATTTCTAAAGACAAGAAAGAATGTTTTTCGAAATTTTTTGACTCATAATTTGAGCAATCCAGGATTCAACCCATCTAAGTGTTAAGAGAAAAGTCTTTTGTTACAGAAAGTGATACCGACTCACCTACTGCAATCTATTTTGCTGCTTGTTTTTCAAATTCTCTTTATTCAACTACGCATGATCAAAAACTTGGGCATATTGAAAAATTTATTGTTTTCCAACGTCATACGAAGAAGTCTACCAGCTGGCAACATCAAAGGAGTTTTTTGGAAAATTTTATTAGGTCATTCATGCGCATGTGTTGATTTTGTTTAAGTTTCAAACTTCCCGATTTTTTCCAATCGTACATCTTTTTCACAGTCAGTTGCAGTGTTGACGTTCTTAACTTGTCTGATATTAAAATAAACACACACTACGATGGTCGGAAACCTCTTTATGCGACGCAAATAAAGTAAGGGAAGTGAAATGCGATATGAATTTCCAAAAAACGTGTTTTTTCTGCTCATATTCCAAGAGTGATGCAACATCAACCCTGCATAAAGAATTCGTTTCACAAACACAACGCAAACAAATGCTTGGTTTAATCAATATTAAAGTGAATAGATCAGACCGCATTTTGAACTCAAGTCGTTAGTTCGAATAAATGCACTAAGAAAAAACAAATAATTAAGCATAATTTTGCATCGATTAATTATTGTGAAAGTCTTGCTTTAGTTTTACTTACTAAAAATCAAGAAAAAAGTGAAGTTTGAAGTGAAAAATGTAGGATTTTAGTCGTCTTTCTTGAAAATATGAGAAGTAGAAATTCAGTTCTTTGTTCAGTTTAGTCTCCAACTAATTGCAAGCTTTTTACGCTTTGTTAATTCCATTGAGATAGTGTAAATTTCAAGGATCGGATTACTTAAAGAACTTCCTAATATTTATATACATATTAAATTTTGTTTGTGACCATCTTGACCGTGGATATTTTTTATAATATTTTTATACATTCTTGAAAAATAAAATTAACTTGATTTAAGCTGGTGTCCAATGTCTGAGTTTAGCAATTAATTTTTAATTGAATTCTCTAATGATTTTAACATTTTCATATCAAGCTTGTATTTATGAATCAAAAGCAAATTAGTTTGGTTAAGAGTGATTATAATGCTGCAATAATCACCTTACAAAATAAAATGACAGTCATCATTGATTTAGAAATAGAAATGATTTCATTCATTTAAAACGTAAGAAATTTTATTAAGTAGATAGTTTACCCTTCAACAGACTTTGAAAAAAATGTCTCTTGAAAAAATAACAAATAATCTCCAGCAGAAATATTTAATTTTTATTATAATATTTCACTTCATGACGGTTTCAAAGTTTATTCTGGTATAACGTCAGTTTTTGGTAAACAATTGAGATACTTCAATTAGAAACACTTTTTGTTCTTGTTAAGAAGGAGTTGATTTCTGAAGAACTGTATCAAATTCTTAAATATTATTTAAAACAGATAAATTACCTAATTAGATATTTCCTTTTCTAAATTCAACATTACTAGTTTGCCTTAAACTTTCTTTTTATCAAGATCTATTTATAAAAATATTAGAGAATGCTTATTAGTACCTATTTGTTTGAAAGCCGTATTAAAAGGAAAACCTTGGGCGAATTGAAAATAAAAAATACATCAAGTTAAAAAGTCGTATAAAAAATTGGCATAGATTTCTTTGCATTTATTTTCCTTCACCTTGCTAAATATTTTCGACAATTTCTCTTTCAAATTTTCACAAAATTTCATACAATAAATTAATAATAGAAAATATTTTTCCTAACGAACAATCGCATTTGATTACCTGTTAATTGAATTGTTTTCAACATGTTGCATGTATATAAGATGTTAGATACATGTGTAATGATTGAGTCATTGTCACTACATTAAAATATTTATGCAAAGCGCAGTGAAAGTGAATTTATTGTAAAGTCTAAGCACAGCCTTTGGGTCAAAAAGAAAGTGATAAGGATCAAAACAGCGTTTAATTGATTTAGACATGTAACAGGAATAAATTTTGTCTCTGCGGAAAGTTTTCATATTTAATCTCAAGCGATAATCGTGTTGGTGGTCAATTGGTAGTTAGCCTTTGTAATGCGGCTTTCGAGAATTAAATTGAAATGGTGAAGTAAATAAATGATCATTTTCAAAAGAAATTTTCGCGAAAGTAAAGAAGTGAGGGAAAGATTTTGTACTTAGATAGATATCTACTCGAAAATGTTTCAACAACACAATGTTTTGCTGCTTTGTGTTAATCTTTTTCTTTTTCATATGATTTAGTTTTTCGATTAATTCTCGCCCCTTGAGGCACCAACACAAAGAATGATTATTTTGCAATTCACACATGCGGCGAGTAAATAAAATTTGAGAGAGTCAAGGAGAGACAATTCACTTAACCGATCGTTTGGAGGTCGTCGATTTAAGCATTGAATGTTTAATAGTTGAAGATCCATCTGTGGTTTGTTTTAGAGTTTTCTGTCACTACACAAACACGGTCATAGATGTTCAAACAAAATCTTTATTCCTAAAACAAGTATTGACTGAAGTGGACACAAAAAAGATTTGCAGTCAAGCTTTATTCCAATAAGATTTTAACAACTCCTTGTTGTGTGCTTCTGCTTTGCATATTTTATAAATAAATATAACCCAATGAAATTTTTACTCGACTCTCTTCTTTTTATAGTATAGTTTTACGGACATTTAAGTATTATTTAGTCATCAAATATAGTTGAATGAATAAGTACTATAACTCTCAGTGAAACTTATTTATGAATGAGTGATCGATATGTTAAGTTGCAAGCTTGTGATAAAGATTTAATGTGTTAAATAGACAAAAGTCTTCTCAACTTTTAAAGACATCTTACTTACATTGAGAACAAACAGTCGCTTATTTAATACTTAAGTGCTATGAGTTCGGTGCAACTAAATTCATCATCAGAGGAAAGGATGAGCATGTACGAGAACATGGTAGAAGATTTAGTGAATTCAGATGAAAGTTCCCGCTATATGTTGGATGGTGAGTTGTCATTGAACAAGTGAAAATTCGTTTCCTTAGTGCACATTCGTTCGATTCTCTAGTTGTTTATCTCGTTTCTCTTGCAAATGATTCACACTGACAAAAAAAATATAGAAATAAAATTAGACCCGGTTAAGCTTGTTTAACTTTATTGTGTCTAGTTTTATTTCCATATTTTTTCCTTCAGTGCATGCATGTAGACATTTACTATGTATTAAGTCTTCGGACTAGCAATTTAGCGCTTAAAATTTGCTTTTAATGATGATTAAACATCATTCTTTTCTTTCGTCATGAGAGTTTTTTTGTCAACAAGCGTTACTTTGAATTTATTAAGCAAAATATGATGAACACGAATGTTTGGAAATCTTGAACTTGAACATGTATACATTTAATGTATCTAAATGTAATCATGATATTTCTTTAAATTACTCTCCACCGGAAAAAAGCTTTACGTAGATAATAATTTGTGGAGCTTTAATTACTAATCCAGACCATAAACGGCTGACAAATCTAACAATGAAATTGAGAAATAAAATGTTTTCACCCACACAGACAGAATAATTGTCAATTCCATATAACGGTCACAATTGAAAAGAATCAATATTCAAGATTTCTTGCTGTCACTTGCCATTTGTATAAGTCTTATAATTTAAACATTAGTGGGTCGATTAAAGTACAACGTAAATCATTTTTTGTTCGTTAAAATTTTTAAGCGTAAATGAGAACTAGGCTAGCTAGCCCTCAATATAATTAACACTTTGCATTATTATGCTATTCCAAACATGACTAAAGTAACGTGAGTGTGTTGAAGGTCAGTGATTTACACGATTTTTTTTGAGATTTACGAAATTTTTTAAAAATTTATTGAAAAAAATTCCAATCTATTGAATTAACTGTCGATCAATGATCGTTTTAATAACTTATTGTGTAACTTCCGTCGATACATCAAAAAAAGAATTCTTTACATAGAAAACCTTAAGATTTTTTAAATTAAACTTCCAAGGAGAAGCTGCAAAGAAAAGAAATTAATCACGAATTATCTCTGATGGGAATTTCAAATTTCTATAAAACTCTTTTGCATCACTTGCGTACCGAAAAAAAGAGAAGCTTACCACTTTTAGTATCGGTTTTGTTCAACTTCTGTACATACTTTAAACATCTGGCTGAAAAGATCGTAAAAAATAATTTCATTCAGAGAGTAAATTATGCAATTTTAAAATGAGATAATTATTTTATTGCACATCATTTGTGACGTATTTTTTGCGTTTTTACTCATCCTTATACATTTAGCTTGTGTACGTTTTACAATCTTACGATTTGCAACATAAATTACTGAATGAAATGTTTTATATATTCATAAATGCTTCCAAATGAAATCGTGAGTTTGCTGCTGACTACTTAAGAAATTATGTTTGTTTGACTTCATTGAACTTCTTACAACTTCGAATATCATCATTGTTTATCGATGGGTAAATGTTAATTTCCTTCAAACTTTCCTCAAGATATTCAGATATTTATAAGCTGGTTGAAAGCATAAGCGATTTACATTTCACGTTTCTTCATTTTGCAAAAAAAAAATAATATAAATCAACTTCCACTCAGAAATGATGTGAACAATTGGTGGGAAAGTAAGAGGACCAAACATTGAAGTGATTTTGTGCCCCTTTTGGCATTGAATAATCAATAAGTAGTCAAAATAATATGTCAAATTTTCCTTACATTACATGCTTACTTCAGATCATCAATGAATCGTTCCCTAAGACTTTAAATCTAAGAATTTAGAAGAAAAAGTTTCTGCTAGTTTATATGTATCATTATTAAGATAATAATTCGTTATGCTTGATTGCGGGAACGTTTTAGTTTAATATTCGTGATAAGCAGTTGTTCGATAAATTAATGTAAAATAACTATGGAAAAAATTTTACATCCTCAAGTATAATTAAAATTTAAAAAGATTTCAGCGTAGTTGTAAAAGTGAAAGATCTCAAAAACTATTGAACATGCAAATTTCATTTTGTTTCTTAAAAGAAACTATATAAATATCCAAGTAATCTCCCAGAAAGTGTTAAAATAATAATTGAAATGCAAATTACAATATTTCATTTTGCAATTTACATAAAATGTTTTTGGTTTTGGCACTTTTTAATGATTTTTCAGCTTTTATGTACAATTTTGGTAAATTGAAAATATTTAATGATGATCGGTTTATGTATCCATCTTATATTGCTATTACTCTTCACTATCAACTAAAGATGTTTGATTCAGTCTTAAATTTTTTTTGTTCTGAATTGGTAATCTTCGATTAAGTGCATAATTTTTATAAGTAGATATTAATGTGTATACATATATGTATGTATATATACGAACATATTCAAATGTTTTTAATATAAACACTCATAAACGTCTAATTATTTTAAGCCAGAAGTAATTTTACTCTTCAATAGATTGAGCGATTGTTTGCAAAGCGCTCTCTCCAAAATAATTGTAAACACAAAATAAAACATCAGAGAAACCTTAAACAGTCTCGCAAAAAATTTAATATTCGCTGTTTCGTGAGTGCAACGATTATTTCGAATTATTCAGTCGTTTCGTAGCGGTGGTCGATAGAAGAAGTGATTTTCTGTTCTTGCTAGTTTCCATTTATCTTTTACTTAGTTTTTGTATTAAAACTAATCAAAGGTTTCCGTGTGAACTGTTTGCTCTTTACTATAATTAAGCAATTGGAAACAACGGTGTCAAGTGTCTACTTGTATGTGATTCGAATGATTATCGGAGATTTCCGGGATATTGCATTAGTGTCACTTCTGTTTTATTGGATAACATAAAGGTGCTAGATGACCGTTAGAGATGAGACGATCACCTTGAGTGAGAGAAACCGTCTAACGAATATCAGTGGCGGAAGTTTTCTTCAAATTCGACCGCTGTAAAATACTTGATTCAATGTTATTTAGTCACACATCAATAGCTAAACTTAACATAAAGAGTTTCACTAGATTTCATCGAAAGTAAAACTTTTGCAATTTAAAAAGAGAAAAGTGTGCAAAAAATAAAATTAAATCGAAATTTAGGTGGCTTCATAGAAATACGATAGTTTTCCCATCTTACATTTCATGCTGTTTCCTCTTAGTCGATTGTATCGGTAGGAAAGAAAATAGAAGCATTTAAATGGATTCATTTTTATTCATTTACGGATTTCTACTACAGTGTTGAAGTGCAGTTCAAATATTAATTAAACACGTGACGAAATATATAAAAAGTTTATTTAGAAATATTACCAGTATTCGAAATAAGAGCAACAAGATTTCTGTGAAGAAGGCAATGGAAGTGGCAACAGAAAATTGCAATTAGTGTTTTTGTAGAGAAAACCTTGGCAGCGGATTAACCGCTTGAGTGCTTGATTGATAAGATAAATAAAATATAATCGATTAGTGACGAGATGGATGAGTCACCTTCAAATGATACAACATCAAAAATCATCAGTGATAAAGGCTCAACAAAGGTTGTCATAACCGATCATGAAGAAATTTGGGATCGTACTCCAATCTTAAGCCGAATGAATTCGATGGAATGCTGGGATTATACGATTGAACTGGAATGTCTCAATGGTCCACAAGGTGAAAAATTTTCACAAAACTGTAATTGTATGAAATGCGAAACATTAATTAGAATTGAAAGCAAAGGAAAAATTACGCACTGAATATTAATTAACTCTATTACGTGGAAAGATATGCTATGTAAACAATCCAGTTATTTATAAAGTTAGTGAACAACTCAACTTATAAATTCTTGAATTGTATTGACTTTTATTTACATAAATACAAATGATTCTCAGGTTTCATTATTTCATTAGATAAAATTCACAGCATAGGAAGAGATTAGGAAAGGTCATGTTCCACATGATGATGTAAATTTCGGATTGTATTCTTCACTAGTTCTCTCAATATTTTATCATATTAGATTCTTAATGAGTCATTGTTTCTTGTGAGAGAAGAACACATTCAACAGAACAAACGACCTTGCAACCTTGAAACGTCTTTAGAGCGTCTTTTGAACTTCAACGAGTAGAATTACGTCTTCTACCACTTAAAGAAAGTGTCAGTGTGATTTCTAAAAATAATAAAATCACTCGTATTACGTAAATTTTCTGAATCTCCCACAGAATTTGCCATAAGAAAAGTAAAGAGAATGAAGTTTGATATTTAAAGAATTGTTTTGCGCAGGTTGGTGAAACCAGTTTCTTCTACAAAGCAGTTATTTGCAAAGCCACATTCTTACGTGCATTGTGCAGCACCTCCATTAGATCTATAGATTCTATGATATAACTTCTTTCTGTTTGTTTAAGAATGTAAGATTCAATTAAAATATCTACTCTGAAAGTTTTGAAAATTGTTGAATTAAAATCTTGTTTGTCGCTTTAATGCACGTGGACTTATTGTCGACAAAAATTTGCTTGCCAAATGGAATTCCTGTTAATTTATTAAAAGTATCGAGATCGGATATTATTTTCATGTCAATTCACGAAACCGTTGGTGTTTATTGACTTGGTTACAGAAATTGTGGGAGAATGTCTCTAACGGTGGATTTATCTCAATCTTGAACGTTTTTACTTATGTTTGTTTGTATGCTGCAAAGTTAAATCAACGCAGCTGTTGCTGTTCATAAACAGGTTGATTAGAAAGAAAATTATGAGCCTTTGATCACAATGATGATTAGATCAGAAAATTATTTATTCTCACACAGTTGGAAGTGAAGAAAGCTCACAACAAAAAACTGAAGATAAAACTAATTCACCATGACGTTGCAAGATGTTCTTCCCTTGACTTTAAGATTGTCTTTCACTTCTTTGAGATCAATGGGTTAATAGCAGAGAGTGGATATGGAATTTTAGATTATATGCATTAAAAACATGAATAAATGTAAACCATTCGTGTTCAGCATAAATTACTTTAATCAAAAGAATGTTTATAAAACAACAACTAGGTATACCAACATATTTTCGCCCTTTTATACTTAGTTAATTTTCTTAATGTATCGAAAGCTTATATTTTTCATTACACTCTCATGTCATTAAAGTTTAAAATATTATTACAAAAACATTGTAATTGCTTGCCAAAGGAAGCACAAGCAACATACGTATTAAAAATGAAATTTAAAACAAGGATGAATAACATCTAATTATGTACTTTGTCAATTTATAAATGATCGCCTTGCGCCTAACGATCATTTGTTATTATTTTATTACTCAATGTATCTAAAAAAATCATTAATCGCAAAATTCATTCTCAAAGAATTTCTCAAGAGACGATTGTTACGATTTGGTCATTAAATTTTCAAACGAATGAATGAATGTAACAATTCAATTAAGAAACGTAATTATTTTCTTCATGTTTTACTTGCGCTAGGCTTTAATTTTGCGATCGAAGTGAAAACAATTCACAAGAGCAAAAAAGACAGTTCTTTAATTTTATTTTGTTTCAAATAAATGCCTTGGCATTCAAAATTTTTCGAATAAATGATATAAAGTTTTCAGCCAAAACTGTGACGTCAATTTGACGTCACGTAAAATGAGCGTAAATGAAGACAACTGAGCAGAACATCAAAACTATCCGGATGGTGGAAGTCTTTTACAATTCAAGATCAATGACGTAAATTTTATTCGCTTATGAATTTTTAATTACTTCGATTTGCCCTTTATATTTTGTATCAATTAACTTTACAGCCATAACGTTGAGTTACCGAGAAAATTTAGATTTAAATACTGAATAGGGAAGCGATATTGAAATTTCATTCAAAAGAAAACTTGGAAGTTCTAAACACATTTCATTCGCTTCTAAAACTTTTTTGGAAGTTCGTGTGACATTTCGTTGAGTCTGCTATTTAACTTTGTTTGTTTGTTTATTTAATAATGATGTTGCTTTGATGCCTAATTTCAAGTTTACGCTAAACAATGCTCATTATTCGCATAAAGTGAAAAATTCATTTAAGTGGTAAAAAGTTAATTAAATTAAGCGAGCAGCACAAGAAAGCTCTCACTGGAACTATCTTTAATTAAAATTAATACATTATCATTTTATTACTTTGTGATGAGAAAAACTTGAGACTTTTAACAGCACGGGAATTTTTATTTAGGTTTCTGTTATAAGCTGCCATCAATGATGACTCTTACAATTTGTACATTGCATATTTATTTTAATAACTAAGCAGTTTGAATTGTCATTAGAATTTCAAATGAACTTCATAGTTTTCAATCTAATATTTTCGTAAATTTACACTTTTCTTAAGCATCTATTTCCAAAACTCTTCCGCCTGATCTAATTAAACAATTTAAACTATTGGAAGAACTCATAAGCAAATGACTTAATCGTAGATACTTGATTTTAAAGAACAATGGTGATTATTTAATTTTATTTCACAGAAACTAACTTGTACAAGGAAATAAAAAACTAACTTTGAGATGATAGCGTTGCTAATATCCGAAAAAAAGAAACAAAAATATCTGAGATTTCATTTAAGAAAACAATTGGACACTGTTACTTAATGGTGATTGTTTCAGTGAATTTTCTACACCAAGTAGATTTTTAAATCATGAGTTTTCTGACTCTTTTCTATCACTTCCTTTGAAGTGTTGTTTTGTCATAACAATCAAACATTCTCCAAAGAAGCAGACAAGTAGATATAATAAAAAGAAGTGAAGCGTTTTGCGAAATAAAACAATTGGCTTTCACTAAAATGTTCATCTCATTCATTAAAAACTCGTCTTCAAGCTCAGTGAACGATTAAAAACGCATGTGGAATAAAAAGACCGCTCCACTAGGTTTTTGGTCAACATTGCAGAAGTCAATTACACAAATAATCATATTTATGAGTAATCAATAATGTAGAAGAAGAAAAGAATTTCACTTTTTAACTTCTCTTTTTTAACACTCAGATCATGATTTTATACAAACTTAATTATAATAATCAATATGATGTTACTTACTTACGTATTTGGATGTTTGTAAACACAAATTATTTCCTATTTCTCGACAAAAATTTACGAATTTCGAGATTCAATTAATTTTATTGCTGAGCGAAAAAAAGTATAATAAAATCTTCGAAACTGATTGATGAGTAACAAAATATTTTCACTTTCCTTTACTTTATCTAATTGGTTTGCTAAATTTGAATTTGCACGATGTAGCAATTTAAATTTCGGATAGGCAATTGAACGTAGAGAATAGGATAAAACAATCGTTAAATTCGTTTTATGTGATGTCGCGAAATTTTCTTAATAACATTGAACATAAAAAGACTTGCTCATTCAAAAACACAAAAATGAAAACTAAAAAATATTTCTGATGAATTGCATGGGAAACAAATAATATGATAATTCAACTGCTTGCAGTTTAATGTTTATTCTTTGATAAAGTTGCTTCAACAGAATGTTGCTAGACGGGAAAATATTTTTCAACAACAAAGAAGAATTCCAAAGTCGTGATTTATATTTAAAGGTTTCTCGTCGAAGAATGCGTCGTTATGTTTCTAATTGCTTTTCTTACATGAATATTCATGTTCGTTATGCTAAACGAATGAATTATTAATAAAAAGAAGTTGATGTTTGCAGCGTCCTCGGGTCGTCGCTCTAAATGCAAATATTCATGTCGCAACAATTCTTTTTTAACTTCAAAAAAAACTTCACATTCCCACAGATACTGAAATGAAACACACAAATGCCATTTCCATTTCTTTAATCCTACAATTTAAAGAGCTAGTTTCCATTCACTATGCTCAACTCTGCGGGCACCGATGAATGAATGCATAAGAAGGTAGTAAAATAAAGAAAAGTAGGCTCTTGTCACAAAGCACTTGGGAATTTATGAGCTTCGCCGATGATAAATCAAGCGCCAATAACCCACAAACACCTTACTAGTTTCGGAACGATTAAGAAATCTTTTTTATTTCTTTTACCTTTAATGCCATTTCATTGTTTGTCTGTTAGATGTAAAGTCACTTAAAAGATATGAAATGTCATAAATTATGTTAGATATTTGGATGTTGGAACGCTTTTTGATGTAGTTCAATTGCAACATTCACTTCCAATATAGTCGTAAAATTTAAAAAAATAAACATCGAGACGATCACATTATGAAATTTAACCTTTCTTCTTGACTTCCATTGAACTTTTTTATTCATAACATTTTCTCATGCTCCACTCATAAATGACACCTTAGGTATTGCGAAAATCTTCAATCGGCGATCGTGCCTTGACGATTGAAAGAAAAAGTAAAAAAGACATTTTTCAAATTTTTATTTCTCAAAGCACAAAAAATGTTTAAAAGCAATCTATTTGCTATCGATACGAGAAATTTCATCCATTCATGAAAAATGATGATTGCTGGTTAGTCTAGTAGCAAGTTTCAATCAATACGTATTGAAAAATTTCATTTTTTTCTTTAGCCACTTATTCATCACTCATTGCTTCGCGGTTAAAATATTTTTTAGATTTTTTTAACTCTTTTCGTTGATATTTATTTAGATCACCGTGAATTAATGATTATGGTGCTTGTTTTTTTTTACAGATTTGCAATTGGCAGCTGAATTGGGAAAAACTTTACTGGAACGTAACAAAGAATTAGAGAACTTATTACGGTCTCAGCAGCGTAAATGTGACGATCAGAAGCAGGAAATAGAGGTCAGTTGTGGTTGTTTCTTAATCTTCTTATAACGTGCGTTAACGTGCTACGATTCCTACATTCCCTTCACCTCGTTTTCTTCTATTGTGTGCTTAATATTTATTGCTCTTCTTTTGAGTTTATTCTTAAAGTATGTAAGATAATTTCCCTGCTGATCAAAGAGTGGGTCTTAATAAACTCTAATTAAACATGCGCTGAGCATGTTCCTTTCTACATGATCATGAGACTCATTTGAAGTAATCAATTTCCAAGAATGAACAATATTTCAGTAATATCTATTCTAATTATTTTCATTTTAATCGCTTCTTTTTCTAACAGTATTTGACAAAGCAAAATCTTGCATTGAAAGAGGTCAATGATTCAAGAATGCAAATCTATGAAACACTTGATGTTAGCATTCGTGATCTTGAGATTGAGAAGCATGCCTTAATGGTGCAGACATCCAATGACAAGAAACTTGTTAAAAGGTAAGTTTCATCATTAAGAGAAACGAATAATGATATTAGATAATTTCAAATGTTCGTTTCAGTTTAAAGCAGAATATTGAGACACTTGAATTACGTTGTGAAGAAATATCGAAGCATGTTGAAGATTTAACACAAAACCTGGAACTTGAACGGCGTAAGAGTGAAAGATTAAGAGAAAATGTAACAACAGAAACGACAACTTCATCCAAAACCACCAACATTAAGTTGCGCCATATATCAAGTGCCAGCGAGACGGAAAACGAAGAGGTTCGTTTTGTATATATTCAATTAAAGCTTAAATAATAAATTTATCTTTTTTTCTAGGCTTCCACTCCAACAAACCCAAACAAGTCATTCACTTCCAGTGGACAAGATTCGTCGAATCAATTACCGTTTATAAATTACTCACAGGATTATTCCAGTATCCAACCAGTTTATTCCCATGACATGCTATCACATGATAGTGGCTTTAAAACTGAAAACAGTAGCAACAGTGCGGAGCACGATGAACTTCTAAAAATTATGAGCGAGCTGGAAGACACAAAACAACAATACATGAATGAACATTCAATGGTGGCTGAACTGGAACATCAACTTTCAGTATTAGCGCAAGAAAACCATAATTTACAATCGCGTCTTGTTCAAGCAAATACTCTCGACGAGATGAAGTCAGTTCATGAAGAGCTTTCATTTCTGGAAGAAGTTCGTCAAGGCCAGATGTGCACGCGATGTCTTAAAAATTTTGATTGTCGGATTGTACCGACTGAAAATACTTCCTACATTGGAACCGAAGGCGATGAAGGTGATGATCGTAGTTTAATGGATCTACTTCAAAGTCCTTCATCGCAGCAAAGTCCAACGTCAGCTTATCGTTCGGGCCTCACGCTTAAGGTAAATAAAATGTTTCACATTTTACTTTTCCTTTTTCATTTGGTGGTGCTTTTGTTCTAACTTAATAGCACGTGAACTTTTGCACACTTTATTTGTGGTTTTGATGACAAAATCATTCATTTCTATTTTATTGCCTCTCATGTATTAATGCAATAATTTTCATTCAGATGATGTATCGACACGCTGGGTTTATGTTAAATTTTCTCTTCAAATTTTTATACAAACCATGAGATTGATTTAACATTCATTCATTTTATCATCTCACATGCAACTAATCATCGCTTTTCATCAATCATTAAACTTTATAATTCTTTAAATCTCAACCTGAACATATGTAGATACATACATTCATCATTATTTTATTTATTTATTGTATTTTTCTTTTCCCTCTCTTTGTAATAACATAAAAGGAAATGAAAGCAAGGAAAGAAAAATGCTCTTTCAATACTTTTCAAAATTTTCTGAAACAATCTTTATCAAGACTTTGTATAAACTTCTTTTAACGTTAAGTTCAAATGCATTCATACATTTATTTCATACCAAATAACTCATGAAATACAAGCTAACATAATTTCACATATATTTAATCATAAGTTTCAAACACAAGCATTAAAAAATAAGCTTTTCGTGATAATAAGTGATATTATGTTCTAAATAAGCTTGGTTGAATGATTATTTGCTGATTCAATTCACATCTAATATTTCGTTAAAATTTTTATTGTAAATAACTTTCATTTTTATTTGCTAAATAAAACTTTGTGGTGAACTTAAATTATTATTTCTTTTCTTTTGCATGATAGATAATCTTAAGGTTTAATATTTTCATTTCTTTTATCTAATTTTCTAATCTAACTGAATTTATCTATGTGATTTTTCTAATTTTCTTCGCTTATGGGTGGTTTTCAAAGTAATTTTAAGTTTTCATGTCCGATTATCTTTCACTCAATTTTTTCAATCAGCGGGACAAACGCCAAATCATTTGATATGCAAAAACTGTTTGTTTTCGTTAAAAACCGAATTTTATTACTTCTTTAAAGGCATGATCAAATATTTCAGGGGACAAGTTTTGGCCATCGTTTGATTCTATAAAAATAAAAATGCTCACATTTTGTATTTGCATTTTAAAAGAAAATTTTGTTTTTTTCATTTATTTTATTTTCTTTGTCCAAAGAACTTTCAATTAAAACTGATAATTAACAAATATTAGTTATTTAGCCGCAACTTATCACCTTAATAATTCACAAAATATTCTTCATTGACTTTTCTCTGACTCTCAAGCAAAACCTTACTTAGTGTGCTTCTTCATTTCACCTTCATAACAAGCACTTAATTTCCATCTCAAAATTTTCTCACATTAAGTTTGTGTGTTTATTGATTTTTCTTAGTTTTTATTCATTATTTTCTTATTTTTTATTTTGATATAGGCCTGTCCCATATGCACACAGTCACAAATCGCCAAAAAGCTGCATGAACTTCCGCTAAATTTATCACTTCTGTCACTGATATCATTCGAGTTGCGTATTCAATTTGAAAAACTATCATACATTCAATGGATTTTAAAGATTTTGCAAATGCCAGCTGTCCTTGTTTGTCGTTATCTTCATTCCGAGGACATTGATTGTGAAAATATCCGATTTATGTAGACTTCCCGAGAAACCAAAATTTGCATGTGACTGTCAAATGGTAGCCACTTATGAAATTACATAAGTATTCAGGGAGAATAACAAAATATGAGAAAGCAGTCAAATGACTGATTTAAACGTCCATGAAAGTTTTGGTTTCTCGGGGTTGTAGGCTGTCATACTTTTTATGTATAAGTTGCAGAATTAAATGAACGGTTGTGATAATTGTGATAAAAAAATTCTTTAGACGTTCCCTTTTTTGCCTTCATTTTACAATATCACAAATTCTAATTTCTAAAGATGGTATTTGTGATTCATTAACCCTCGATGCTGTGCCAAAACTTAGTTGCTTAAGAAGTTTTGATAAAAAAAATATTCCTTTCTCATTTCGATGGTTTGTAGATAGATCTTTTTTAATAAGTAAATAACACGAATCAATATCTGCTTGAGAAGTAGCTTAAGTCATGGGTTGTACAACAAACTTAATTATTGTCATCAAATAAATTAAAAATGTTCACCAACATTGAATTCATATCATTTTTCAATTAAAATATTTTGTATGTAAATGAATTTCAGGATGATGAAACATCATCACAGGTTGATGATCCAAAATGCAATCCATACAAAGAATTGGTGGAGAAATATGAGAAACTTTTAGAACTAAAGAGATCAACGTGTTCGAAGCAACAGCAACAACCAGAAATGGTTATAGCTCCACAAAGTTTGCATGATGAATTGTTGAATTCAGGAGAATTCAGTTCATTCAACACTAAATATACGTCAGATGATGAGAAGAAGACATCAACAGGCGCAACGCGAAAAACCCCAACAGACTATTCCGAAACTGAAACTGCAAGTTCTGGATTTTCAGATGAGACATCTACTAAAGCTACACAAACTGAGGAAATCAATCCTGGTTCATTCTTATTTTCTATTGCTGATGGTGAAGATTGTAAATTTACAATTTATGATGATGCTGCACCAATTGAGAATCGTTTCCGTGACCGTCCAAGATATCGAGAGCTTTTCAAAGAAATCTTTACAGTGTTAAAGAAAGCGGCCGAAAATAAGGAAGAAGGTGAAAAATTACCTTTACTTGATGACGATAAACAACCTGCTACAGAAAGTAGCAAAGTCCCACCTGTAACGCCAGCAACTGAGGAAATGCCTTATGAATTTGACTCTCAAAGCATGATTTCATCCGCCATTTCTGAAAATTCTGTTGCTGTCTCTGAATGTGTTACTAAAACTGAACGCAAGAAGGCAAAATCACAGAAGAAGCAAGCGATAAAAGAGGAATCGGAAAACAAGCCTCCAACTGCTGTTCAAATGGTAGCTGGAAAGCTAGTTACACCTTATAATAGACTAGCATTAGATTTGTCAGCAATTGCGGCTAAGAAACGTGCACGTCGTAATCGTCAAAGAAGCAAGGACAAATATGGTGGTGGACGTGACTCAAGTGTCTGCAGTAACGCGTCGAGTATTTCTAACCAAGCTGTGGCATCATCAAGCCATCAAGATGTGGACACTTCAGAAGCTAAAGACTCTTCTACATTGACCAGAAACAAGAAGAGTCGCCGCCATCGTGAACTTCTTCATACAATTTCAACTATTGGGGCTTCTGAATGGAACGGAAACACTGTAACAGTTTATAATCAAAAGATATCAAGAAATAACCCATCACATTTCTTCTGTCGCCCAACGGTTGATGATAATACAAGTGAAGTAGAGTTTAAGCACAGTGCAGCATCTCACGAACTTAAGAAGCTAAAGAAACTTGATCTTTCGTATGCTGAAGTTTTAAGGCAAGCTGATAGACGATATAGAAAATGGAAATAAATTCATTCATTTTAAGGTTGAATCCTTTTTCTTAAATATATTAGAAACTTTCAGAATTATTGAAAACATTTTAGTTTGAGTTTCGTACCTATTCGCCATTATTTTCAAGAAATAAATTTTATCTAAATAAATTGGCGTGCTACGAAAATACCGAAATCCACAATATTTTTCTAAATTTTGAATGATTGTAAATTTGCCAGAAATATTTTTATTTTCAGTTTTTTAATGTTTCCTTTTTCAATCCAATAGATAATAAAAAATACTTTCCTTGATCAAATAATTTCATTGTCTCTTATTTAACTTAGTCTGAATGAATAATGAATTTATGTGTAAATCAGATGAATACAAGAAATTGAATGTTGTTATTTTTTCAGAAGTTGTTAAATAACTACATTCAAAAATCAGGTAAAGTCTTAAATATATGCCAGTTATAAATTATCAGAATTCTGGAAGTAAGCCCGTTAATGTATCATTGCTCAATATTTTTCCAGTGCTGCATTTTGAATTAAAACATTTAAATATTTTTCCAACAAGTTTAATTTTATTTCACAAAATTCTTGAGAATCAATGACTTAACTTCAATATAAATTTCTTAATTTAAATTATAGCAATTTTTCTTTTAAACAACAGAATGTTCATTCCTTAGTAAGGATAGGGGTACACTATCAAATAATATTGAATCAAAGAATTCCTTTCTATACTTAGTGAAAAACTAAAACAAAATTGAGTTCAAAATTCATTTGATTTGACTAAATTTTAAAGTTGATAGTAAAAAGCACAAATATCAACGTTGAAAACACTTCAATATCATCGCTTAAAAATATTACTGAAGAACAGAAATGCAATTAAAAACGAAATAGTTGATGGAATTGCAAAATTTGCATGTTTCTTCATGTCTTGAAACTTTAAGAGTTTAGAAATTCTCAGGCTGAACATGAAAGAAAGTTTTAAAATCTTTTTAGTTTCGACTTTGACTGCGATCATAAAATAACATATAAGCTGGTGACGCGAGAACTTCCTCAATGGATACCTCTTTGACAAAATGATCTGACGTGTAATACCATCTAATGAAGAAAGAAAGAATATCTTTGTAAATAAAAGATTACTTTAACTGTAAATCATTCTATTACTTGTGATAGTTGCGCAATGAACCTCTCCGGTAAGTTATGAAGTGTCCGGTATTTGCACCGTCGCCACCATGAACCACAACAGCTAAAAGTCGATAGAGATTTCTTGGAAACATTCCAAAAGATGTAAAAGGTGATCCGAATGGTACATTCTCGTTTGTTGGAGTTGCATTAGCAAGACTAGCCGAATAGAGAGACATTGTGCTGCCCCATCTTAAATACATTGTTAAGTAAATAAAAGAATAAACGAATAAAAGCAAATATCATCTTACGGAGTAGAGCAATTTGACCCAAGTGACGGCTGAATAAAACTGTATGGAGCCATCGATAAACTTTCAGGAAAATGAACAAAATCGTTGCGTTTAGTTGTTTGTCCATTGCTCCAACTTGTTCTTACGATGTGAATTGCGAGGCAAGGAGGGAGTTTTGTAAATGTTAATGTTTTTGTGTGATTTGCTATTTTGTTACAAGATTCACATTCCACATCATTTACAGTTTCAGGTGCCACATATTCTCCCAACAGCTGACCCAGACTTAGAAGTGTTTGAACTTTTTGTTCTGGTAAATTTAACGAAATGCTGTCAAATTTATCAACTCGCACAACTGATTTATAGTTGCAGCCACTGCACATGAGTTGACTACTAATTGAACCACGAAAAGGTGGTGGAATATTTTTTGTGACTTTTTCACTCCAAACTGAAACTCGTCCTGGGCCTCGAGATAACCGATCAAGAGATCTATATGATCCACAATTTCTTTTACTGAATGCATCACCATTACTTTGACTCATTGATGGATTGCGAGATCGAGTCGGTCGACCAGTTGTTGCTGAAATGATTGATGGAGGTGAATCTTGTAGAGATGGATTTCTGTTGTCATCATCAAGATCTAGCATTGAATGATCAATCGATTCATTTTCATCAACGGTTGATTGATTCGATTCAGGAGTTTGAGCTTCTGATCGCACCAATCTCATCAAGTTTGAAGACTCGTTGTACAATTCTTTGTCAAATTCTGTTAACATGGCTGAAGATGGACGAGCTGGTAAAGCTTGTGAAATTGCGCTTATATTTGCTTCACCTAAAGCATCAGACAAACATCCAATCTTTTTTGGCTTCAGTGCTTCTTCTTCGACTGATGTTAAAATTACATGAAGTAGTTCATGAGGGTCATTTTCACCTTCTGGTATGACCCAACCAAGAGCGTTTAGTGCGCGAATTACGGGAGCTGGATTTGATGGATCTGACCGGATTGTCGGATGTGTTCCTGATTTAAGATAATAAAATGATCAATTTCTTGTGCGAGGGCAAAGTCAAAATAAAGATAATTTACCATTTATGCAATCAAGAATCATTTGTAATGATGAAATTAAAGATTTCTTATCCAAGGAATCGTGAAGTTGAAGCCATGTGAGAAACTGAGGGCTTGATGCAACAGCTTGAAGCAACGTGTTAAGAAAACAAGTATTTCCAAAATTTATTAATCCCGAGATTTGTCCTCTCCTTTGCCTTGAGAAATGAAAAATATAAAGAAAAATTTTGAGATAAAATTCCAAGTAAAAATCAATAAAAAGAAATTATACCTTAGCTTGGATTTTGAACCAGGCCAGAAGACAAAAGCACCAACAGCACCTACTACTGCAGCTCCGGTTACCATAGCTGTTTTGATTAAATGAAAATAACGTAGATTCTCATCATAATCTTTGATTTTGAATAATAAATGAATTAAGATTCGATTTGAAAAAAATTTTACCAAACATTAATGAAACGCAATGTTTCACAATAAAAACTTACCCATTAAAACTTTATCTGACTCCATTATGAATACCTATAGCATTAAATTTTCTGAAACTTTATTGACAAGGAGCAAAACTTACATTTGATAGAGAAATTTGTTTTTTTAAAAAAAATAATTCATGAAGGCGTTTAAGAATTTTTTAATGTGTTCAGAACTTTAATTTCTTAATAACCGTTACATAGTCAAGTGTCAACTAGGTACCTAGTTCTGAGAAGAAAATTTTCGAAGAAAATGTCTTGAGTAACACGGAAAACTCTGTTTTTTCATATTAGATATTTAGAGAAAACGAAATAACCATAAACCTGAAAAAAATTAAGATTAAAGCTTTGAGAGAAGGCTGGTGCTCAAGATAAACACAAACCTCCAACTTTAAGAGAAGAGATTTAGGAAAAACAACTTAAATAAAGAGACCATCATCGTCACAGGTTAAAATCTGCCTTGATTTCTGGCTTACACTTTTATCTAAATGAATTTAAAAAACAGATTATTCCTACTTGTCATTAAAACAAAAGTTTAAAAATATGTTCGTTATCGCAAATGCAGCATTAAGAGCTTAATTACCTACGGAAATGAAGATATGAAATCGTAAAGTTTTCTTTAATTCTTATCGGTCATATCCGGGTTTCTTATCTTTTAAAGAAATAATTTATAATTGTACTTTGATTGACATACGTAAAAATAATAATAAAGAGATACCTTTGGCTAAGTTAGATACTTAAGGTATCTTATTATCTTTTATATAAACATAGATCCAAGCGGAAAAATTAATTTGAAATTTTCATCTGAGGATTTTAACGCATACGATAAAGTTCAAAGTTGGAAAAGTGATTTCTCAATTTTTTTTGATAAGCTTCATCCTTCTATATTATGTAGATAGATAGATCTAGGAATTCTTTGTTTTACTTTTATGATAAGAAGGATTAATACCTTTAAAATGATAAGATTAGGAACCTATTAAAATGCTTCAGCATGATTGAAATATTTTCAGTCCCAAATTAATATTTGCTAAGGAAAGAAGAAAAGTAAAGACTTCTTAAAGTGAATTCGGAAAGAGTGAGATAAAATAAAAAAATTTCATAATTTTAATTGGCAAACTTTTAATAATAAAATATTTTAGTGATTCTTATTTTTTTGAGTGTATTGGCAATTTTGGGTGGAACACTTGGTCAAAGAAATCCTAATCCTTGCGAAGGAGTCACAGGAACTGATACATTTGTAAATGATTATACATCTTGCGCAGATTACTTTTGGTGCAACAATGATGTAGCTATAAATGCCGGCCCATGCCCTGATGGTTTTATTTTCAATGGAGATAGTCAAACTTGTGTATTTGGTGATGTTTGTGATGAATGTCCAACTGATGGAACCACTTTAGCAGTAAGATGATCCTTTTCATTTTATTTTTTTCTTTTTCAATTTATGATAATAAACTAAAAAAGGTAGGACTTGCTGGTGACACAACTTGTACATTTTGGCAATGGTGTAGTGCTGGTGTAAGAAGCAATGATACTGAACAATGCAACACACCATTACTTTTCAATAGAGGGCTAGGTAAATAGATTAAAATTAAAATAAAATCCTATAACTCTTCTTTTTGAATTATTTTTTTATATTAGGTTTATGCGATCTAGCTGAGAGTGTAAACTGTGTTACTGGTGGTCCTGGGGTAACTCCATCGTGTCCTCCGACGGGAATCGTTGATATTGAAGCACCACCAGGTTGTAATACTTTCTTTGTTTGTATTGATGGAGATAACGATGGCATTGTAAGAAATTGTACTTCCGATCTTCATTTCAATCCACAAATTGGCAACTGTGATCTTCCGGAAAATCGTGTTCCACTGTGTGAAGATCCTGCTGCAGCTTTCAGATACGTTCCGACAGTGCTTGTTGAATACTAAATATCTATTTGTCAAAAAAATTAAAGGAAGTGGATGTTGGAACTTTCATGAAATAAACTTTTATTAAATAAAATGTGTTATCTATCTTTCTCAATCATTAAAATCACAAGACAAGACTTTACTTTTGTAATGATATCATCATAGATATCATTTTACTCTGATTATAGAAAATGTCGAAATGTTAACATCTATTTTGAGAAATCTGATGATATCTTTCGCATGTATTAAATGATAAATACAAGGTGTACTGGTGTAGCCTTGATCGCCGCTATAAAATGGGACGTAAATACAAAAGTACGTCAATGTAATTCTTAAGAATTCTATCTCAAGAAAAACACAAACGAAGGCTACGAAATGATGTTACTTTCAAACAAGTTCCTATTTTAAAACGCTATTGAGGCGATATTTATCAAAATGATAATATTTTACAGGATCTTAAATTATGGCTTTAAAAGATAAAAGGTAGGTAATTCATTTTAATAAAGTATATGATACTTTGGGGATGAGAACACGCAGAAAAAAGAGGTATTCACTGCAAGGTAGATATGTAAAATTAAAAGCTTTCAATTGAAATAGCAATAAAAAATTTAACCGACACCAATGATTCAAATAAATAATCCTAAACGTACTCATTAGGTTTCAGCCCTGCGAAGTTTTGTTTTCAACAGGCCCTGAGAAGTTTTGTTATTTAAAAATAAACCTTTAAATTTCAATTTAAGATTGAATATAACACTAATGGAAGGAATAAAAGTTGATCAGATTAATTATGCAAGCCATAAAACCAAATGTCGACTTTGTTTTAAGTATTTTGGAATCAATGAACATCGCATTCAAATTAATAGTCAAATTGAAAGGAAATTCCGGGATGTAACTCAAACTGATGTAAACAAAACAATTTCACGATTATTTAATACGCATTTTAAAATCATTTTTAATTTCAGTTGAAGATTTCGAAAGAGTATTCCAATGAAATCTGTGTCATTTGTAATTTTCAATTGAAAGATTTTTTTATCTTTAAAAGAAATGTAATTATTCTTCAAAAAGGACTCTACAAATTTTCGTCAATTCAAAAGAAAAGTTTAAAAAATGATGCTAATATTGAAATGGAAAATGACACATTATTGGCACATTTCAAGGATATTAAAAATGAATTAACTTCAAGCCATCAGAATAGCAGTACTGAATTTAAGATTACGGATGGAGCAATTGTTGAAAAAAATAACTTATTGAAATATAATTCAGAATCAAATATAGGTAAGTAAAAGGTTCTAATACTTAGCAGATATTTTAAATATTTATATATTTTTAGTTTTTCCAATTGATGTAAAAACAGAAGAAGATTTTGCAAGGAAGACATCGAGAGAAAATGTTAATAATGAAGTCAGTTTTCAATTTACTTTTAGTTATCATTCTTATTATAATTCCTTAATATTGTTTTAGACGTGGGATAATAACAAAACGTTATCTGGAGAGATGCAAAGTATAGAAAACTTCGATGAGAAAAGTAATTTGCATTCAGAAACTCTTTTCAAGTGCGAAAATTGTGAAGCGAGTTTTGAATCGTATCAATCTTTTCAATCTCATAAACATAAAATGCATTCAGCAGATATAGATGTAACAAAATGGCTTTGTCGTCAATGTAACACTTTTTTCAGCGGCTCAAGAACTCTTCGTGACCATGTAACAATAGCTCATTCACCCCTAAAACCGCAAATAAATTGTCCAGTTAAGAATTGTTCAAAAACATTCCTCACTATTAAACGTCTGAAGGCTCATATGAAAGTACATGACAATGATGCAAAAGAAATGTGTCCAGAATGTGGTTTACTGGTTACGAATAAGCACAATTTAGAGAAGCACATAAAAAGAGTTCATCTGAAGTTACGCAATTTTTTCTGTGATCTTTGCGGCTACAGTGCCACTTTTAAACACAGCATTGTATCACATATGGTGAGTATTTTTGGTATCAATAATTGTTAAGCTTACTTTTGATAATCTTCAATTTCTCAGATAAGTCATATTGATCCTAATGAACGTCGTAAATGGCGTTGCGATTTGTGCAGTTTCATTTCTGTCTCCAAACAATCCTTGCGAGCTCATAAAAATTATGAACATTCAGGAATTATCTACACATGCCATTGCGGAAAAGGATTCAATCAAAGAGCATCTCTTTCAACTCACATAAAATGTGTTCATCATAAGATTAAGGATCATCTATGTAATATGTAAGTTGCGTGATTTTTATGATTTCTTTTTACTTATCTTTTTAATTGACAGTTGCGGGAAATCATATTTTACCAGAAAAGATTTACAAAATCATAAAAAATCCCAACATATGGAAAGAGATATGCCTTGCGGTAAAACCAAACCTGAAATTCTGAAGAAATCAAAATATTATATAAAACTTTAACTTAAATTTATAGAAATTTGTGGAAAAATGTTTGCAACGCAGAAACATTTAACGAGACATAAAATGCATCATGAAGAGCCCAGATACAAATGTCCATATGAAGGATGTCATAAAGCTTTTATTGACAGACCAAAGCTTAAAGATCACACAAAGCTTCATGAAAATAAACGTGATAATCTTTGTCATCTTTGTGAAAAAAGTTACTTTCATCAAAAGGATTTAAAACGTCATTTAGACGTTGCCCATAAGCAAACCATTTTCCATTGTGAACTTTGTACTTTTACAATAAGCAGAAAAGATTATTTACGTAATCATTTAAATATTGCTCATAAACATCTGAGTCTCGAGGAGAAAAATGAAGTTTTAGCTCGTACAAAAGTTACAAGAAATGCAGTTTAAGTTAATAATAAATTCTTTCTAACCCATGTGAAACATTTTTTCTCATGAATTTAAATAGAACATTTAAGCTTTAATCTAAAGTCTTCTGTCTTGACATTTTTCAGAAAAGTAAAAAAAATCTTTAAAATAAATTTGTAACTTCATAAATAAAGATTTATTCTATTTTAATTATCCATAAATTTTATTTAGATATCTATTATTTTATAAAATATTTAAAAATAAATTCAGCATATGAACTTGAGATTGCTTCCAAAATTTATTGAAAAAACGAAATTTTGCTACATGAATCATTTTTTTGCTTCTTCTTTTAATGAGAAAATGATAGCTTAAATTATTTATGTATGTAAATTTACGAGAACTCTTTTTTTCTTCGTAAAATCATGATTTCTATTTACTTCTTAGAATGAAAGAAAAGAAATGTTCATGACTCATTATCATGGTATGAAGCATCATGACTCATATCATCATTTTGTCTGATTAATTTTTGACGACAGCTTTCTTCTTACGTTGCACTAAGATCTCATAAAATGGATTGTGAGCTATCGAGTGTGTCAGACATTTAATCCATTCATTCTTCTCTTCGACGGTAGCTGCTGACATTCGATAAACAGTATGTTTGCCTTCAACAACTTTTCCTTCAGAGTCAGTTTTGCATGCTTTTATAATTTCAGCTCCACCACCTGCGTACAACTCAAAACAATGAGGTTTGCTTTTGTCAGCAACTTTACATTCACGAACCAAGATGTTTTCTAATGGTATAATTCCCCGTGGTTCTTTATCCGTTGTATATTCAAAATAATACAAACAATTATCATTAAGGATGAACCATCGTCTTTTCCAACTTTTGTAACGCCCTCCTTGTTTCCATAGCCAGCCTTCTTTATCAGGATTGAAAAACGTATGCATCAAGTCGTTGCCATCATCTTGTGGAATCTTAAATGGCTCTGTACGAATAGACTCGTAAAGTGACTCCAAAAGTTCACGAGGTAAATCTCCTCCGTTGTTAATACCACGGTTCATTGAAATGAACTGCTCCACAGTTGGCTTATCCTTAACTGATGGATTGTGAAGTGAAGTATTTAACATAATAATAGCGAAACTTAATACGTAACATGTATCCGTGTTAGTGAAAATGTCTGGATTCAATTGACAGTAACGTTGTGCAAAGCATTCCATCATTCTATCGATTTTCTGTGCTTCTCCAGGCAGTCGAAAACTCCACAAAAACTGTCTTAGAGCTTGTACAAGGATGAGATTTGTGAAATCATGAAGTTCTACGAAGGCCTTCAGTACTTGTTCATTGAAAGGTTTTTTCTCTCCTAAATAGTCGCCAATAGCAGTTTTATTAAGACCTTCACCTTTATAAAGAAACTGGGCAACATCTTGAGCATCAATTTTCAAAAGATGGTTCTCATAGAGATATTCAATTCCTTTCTTCGGATCCATATTGAATTTTTTCCGTCCAATTGACATTTGTTTCTCTTTAGTTGAATGTTTGTTTTCAGAATCATGAGATTCCATTTCCTGAACGACTTCACATAACTCATCTTTGATTTGTTGGATTTCAAGTAGCAACTCTTGTTTTCTTCTGCGAAGTTCTATAACCAGTTTTTGTTGTTCGGGTGTCAAATCTTGTCCTATTTCCTTGTTTCCAGAATACATTGTGAATAATAAATTATTTTCTATCAAACTAACCATAGTTTTTCATAACTTCAGCTTTCTTAATTCATTCAAAATGCGTTATGGAAGGATAAAAAAATGTTTTTTATTTTCTTTATTTACAATTCACGGACATTTTTTATATGAGTTCAGCAGTGTTCAGCGTTGGAAAATTACTCACCACTGGAATTTGTCCACCGCAAACTCACCACTAATTCACCACTTAATATCCAATATTTTGACAACACATCGAGTATAGAGTCGGAGTTATTAAAATTTATATATAATTGTCATTTGATATTAATAAGCAATTGTGATAACGTACATCTGTTAATCAATTCTTTAGTAATGGAGGGACTGGAAGCAAAAACATCTGTTTCTACCACTCATGTAAATATCAGGAATATTATAAATTTAAAATGGATTTTCGTATTACTTTTTTATTGTGTAATTAGGAAAAGAAAACTTTACAATTAGATGAGCTTCCAAGAGAAGACCTGATACTAAAATGTAGAAATCTATTGGGAATAGCTAAGAAAGCTAAAGCTGCCAAAGACGGTAATTGAAAAAGAAAATAGATGACGTTTATTGTTTCAAAATATATCTTTGTTAATTTTGTTTGCAGAGGCACTAAACGAATTAAAGTTAATTAAAGCTACAAATGCAGAGCAAACAGAATGTATAAATTCACAGAAAAAATCTTTAGAAACATTACAAGAATTGATAGACAGCCTTACAGCAGTAAAGCTTGAAAATGTGACAAAACTGAAGCAATTGGAGGATGAATTAAAATCTAAAGATAAATTGAAAGAAGAACTAACTCAGTCCATTAATGAAGCTTCAATTGAGAAAGAAGGATTAAAACGGCAAGTTCAACGATTATCTGATGAAAATGATTCCTTGCTAGCACAACTCCAAGAATTAGAAAATGACCAAAATAGGGACATTAAAAAAGATCATCAAACGGAAGTTGAGAAATTAAATAACTTCATAACCGATCTGTCGAAAAAGTATGAAGAGAAAGTAAATGAAAACATTTCCCTCCAAGATTTGGTTGAGAAAAATTCTACTAAAATTAAAAAGTTAATTCAAGAAGTATCGGAACTAAGAGAGCCAGTGTTGTCACAAGACGAATCATTAAACTCCGCTGTACATGTCAGAGCTCAATATGAAAAATGTGTTAGAAAACTTAAAGTTTATCGCGAGAAGATCTGTGGGATTTCAGAAAGATTCGAACTTTTGAAGAGTGATAAAGATGTTCTTGTTTCTACCACAAAAGAATATTCGCGATGCATTTCTAAATGGCAAAAAGAAATAGCCGAGTCATCAACAAGAATGATTGCTATCATAAAGAAATCCAATCAAGATATTTTGAGTAGAGACGAAGACATAGCGAAGTTGACAAAAAAGATTCAAGATTTAGAATCTTCAGCTACCACAGCGACTGAAAGCACCAACAATTCGAATCAAGATTTTGAGAGTGAAATTCAAAAATTAAAAAATATCATCGAAGAGAAAGAAAAAAGTTTTGAAGAAGAACGAAAGAAATTTAAAAGTACTGCAAAGAAACCAACCGTCCTTGATCTAGAGATAGAAGCTTACGAAAAAACCTTAGATGAACTTAGCAAGAAGTTGGATGCTAAGAAATCTCAAACAAATGAATTAGAGGAAACAATTAAAGTACAGAACGAAACAATGAATTCAATGAAAAGTCAAATTTCAACACTGGAAGCCAATTTGAATGCAGAAAAATCTCATTCAACTGAAATAAAGAGTAACCTTGACAGTCAACTTAATTTATCACGTAAATCGGAACACGAAAAAACTGAAACAAAATTGCAATTAGAATTGCAAATTAAAAACTATGAAGCTCTAAAGTTGGAAAATGGCGAAATAAAACTTGAAATGGCACAAATGATGGGTGACTCAGAAAAACGTTATCAAATCTTAGAGTCAGAACGTAATGAGCTTCTGAAGAATATTTGTTTTGTTGAGAGTGAAGTTGATAAGTTTAGAAAACTTTCGTCATCACAAGAGAAAGAAATTGACAGTTTGCGTGCTGAATTTTCTAGTTACAAAATAAGAGCACAAAATGTGTTACGACAAAATCAAACGAAGGACCTCGGTGAAGAGCAGGAGCTTAAGGATGAAGTCATTACACTTCATAAGACTTTGGAAGACATGAAAATATCAAATGATAAAACCGCATTAGAAATGGAAAGTTTGAAGAAAAACTTTTCTGATGTTTTAGATGATAAAAATCGTTTACAAACACGATGTAACGATTTATTGACGGCTTTGGAAAAACAAAGTGATGAAGTTTTAGATGAGACCCGAACGAGAAACCAACAGCATGACGAAGCAATTAAAGCTTATCAACTTCAAATCGATACATTAAATGCCTTTTATCAGAAGAAAGTTCAAGAGACAGAAGAAATTAGCGCGACAGCAATAGCAGAACTTAAAGCTAAGCTTCTGAAACTAGAAAAAGATTCAGAGACAGTACGTCATCAGTCATCAGTAGAAAATGCTATTGATCAGCATATTTTCTATCCTAGGAATGAAGATCAGAAAATAAGCATGTCACTTCTTGATCGTGAAGAAGCGGAAGGAAGTGAAGATCAATTATCACAATCTTCAGCATTTCTTCAGCAAAATTCTAGAAAAACTTCAAGAATCAGAGATCTCATGCCTTTAGATGAACTTTTAAATTCATCTTTTGACGATAACTTGAATGAAGTAAGTGATCGTAAAATCTCAACAAATTCAATTTCTTCTGAAATCTTCGAAAATGTCAAAGCTAATTTGTCAAAAGAACAGAATCGTGTTTCACATCTGACGATGCTATTAGCCGATGCAGAGAAGGATCTTGCTCGTATGCAGCAATTAAATGATTTGTTGAAGGAAGAAGTAAGGAGACAACAGCGCAACTTTGATCGTGAAGAGCACATTAAAAATTCAGAATATTTGAAAAATATTGTCGTAAAATTTGTAACACTTAACAACGGCGATGAAAAGCAGCGACTTATTCCCGTTTTAAACACAATTTTAAAATTAAGTTCTGAAGAAAATCATTTACTTCAAAATGCTTGCAAACCTGGATGGGCATTGTGGTCAAAGTAAATTTTATTTTTAAACATTTAAAGCATATATTCTATCTTATACCTGTAGCCACACCAAATATTGCGAAGTTGTGAAAAATAAATGAAATTGTTTCTTTATTACAATTAAAACAAAACAATATAATTAGGGGAAGTTTTATTTAAATTGATTAACTTTATCATAAAATCAAAGCTATCATCGAATAAAACATAAATAATGAAACACAAAATGCTCAAAGTTGTTACTTTACAATAATAAATATTATTTATTTCATTCTCTTATTCATAATTGAACCTTTAAAGTTAAGCTACACATCGATATTCTTCGACTTTTAAATTTCGTATTTTTGTTAGAAGAGCGTTTAGGCTTTGAGATCCAAGATTTTGATGATGCTGTAGAACATGATTCCGATAAGTTTCCTTCCTTGCAAAGCTAGACGAACATGAAAGGACTTCGCAGTCGATTTTAAGCTTCATGTGTGCTGATATTATGTGACGTTTGAGATGAGATTGGAAAAAATAACTTTTTTCGCAAAACGAACAAGTAAAATCTTTCTTTCCTTGGTGAACCTAAATATGATTAAACTTATCGTTAAAGTGCTGAAGTCGTATTATGTTATAGAATTGGAATCGACTTACATTCACGTGAGCTCGTAATAATTTCCTCATAAAGAATTTCTTTCCACATGCCTCAAAGGTACACACAAATTTAGGTTCAGAATGATAATATAGATGAGTACGAAGATTGTTCATACAAGAGAATAGTTTCCCGCAAAACTCACATGGCATGTCTTTGTCGCGGTGTGATTCGATATGTTTTTTTAATGTTGAGATGGTGAAAAATGATTTATTGCATGTAGGACAAGGATGAAGTCTTTCTTTCTGCATATGTTTAAGCTTGATGTGCCTATTAAGCAAATGACGTTTTCCAAAATCTTTTGAACAAAACTCGCAGTAAAATAGTTGTGGCTCATGTTTTATGTGGTTCAGCATGTGATTCTCCATTTCAATTTTGAAACACGAAACGTAAGAGCAAATATCACATTTGAAGTCGTTTAATAATGAATGTACTGCTTTGATGTGACTGTTCAGATTTCTAACTTTGACATTACAAAGTTTACACTTTTCCTTCTTGGATTTCTCGGATTTGTCAGAACTTGAACTTTTAGTATTTTGCAATTTTGCATTGCTTGAAGAACACCTGAAAATTATAAACTTTGAATTAAAGAAATATGTCATAAATTGCATAATATTTTTCATACTTCAAATTTTTCGCTCGTTTTTTAGTTTTACTATAAGAGTTTTGAATCTGACAGTGATCACTTGAGATGTTTTTTTCGATTTCCTCTGCTTCTAATTTTATTTGGATTTGATTATCAAAATTAATTTCTTCCTCCAACAAATTTGAGGTATTACAAGCGACGAAATCATCGACGTTTGGTTTAAGTTCAAAACTATTCTCATTAAATATATCCACTTCCGTTTGATGAGGTTCTTTTTCATTCAAAGTTTTGTATAAAAACTTTTGTTTGTCAGTCAGATCTTTTCTAAAATGACTGAATACCTCCAAATCATTGTTACAAAGTAGACATATTTTGCTAGAGAAATCTTTAGACTCTATAAGCTGCAACAAGAAAGATAACGTTAATGTTTGTAATAACTCAATATTGAGAATACTTACTTCTATTTGAGTTAAGTCAAAAAATCTTTGCTCGATCAATTTCGATATTTTGACAAATTTATTTTCATCAATCAAAGTTCTGAGACAACAGCGACACTGATTCAACTGGTCTTCAATGTTGAAGTCTACTAGGTTCAATGAATTCATAATAAAACTTCTCTAAGGAGTTATAGAAGTTTTCTTTTAAAAGTAAGAAAATACCTAAAATTCTAATTTTTTTTGTTTGTAAACAAAGTTCAAACTTAAACGCCGCCCTCAAAATTTTCTAAACACATCCATTGTTTTTTGAGGCAAAAATTGTAAAACAAGTTTTTAATCAATCTCAAAAAATATTTCGTAATTTATGGAGCATTTGGTAGAGATAGAAATATCTCCTGTTAAATGTCAGTGCTGCTTACAACGTCCAAATCATGTATCACAAGACTTCCAACTGTCAATAATTTCGTCAGAAATTCAAGAGACTTGCAAAGATGTCATTTGCATTCAGGTAAAAATATTCGTAAACCTATTTTGACCGAATATTTAATAACTTTAAATCATGCTTTATTGTAGTTAGACGAAGGCGTTATCTGTAATTATTGTTTAGAAAGTTTAACTTCATTTCAAGACTTTAAGCGTAAGATTTGGATAGCCCATAATTTAAATGAAATTAAACAAGAAACTGAGGATTGGATTTGGTCATCAAAACAGGAAGAGGAAGAATTGAATCAGCATACCATTAATGATGAAATTACAACAGAAGTTGTAGAGCAGAATAGTGAAGTTTCTGAAAACAACAGAAATCTTCCGAAGAAAACATCTGCGATGAGTGACATTCAACAAAAATATGAAATAAAGTTTGTTGATGAAACAAATAACGATTGCAAATTGGCATCCCAAGTTTTTTGTCCAATTTGCAATAAAATATTGAGGCTGTCATCACTTCCATTACATATCAAGACGCATGAATCAGGACGTCAACTTGATTTTATGTGCGAAATTTGCTCAAAGAAATATGTTTCGAACGCTGACTTGGTAATCCATAGGAGGTATGATGAAGATCAGAGGCATTTAAATTCCCAATTGTAATATTTTTTTATACTTACACAAAAAAGGGTACATACAAATGAAAAGCCGTACGAATGTGACCAATGTCCAAAGAGATTTAGCTGCAAGAAGAATTTAATTTCACATTTTCGTTCAATTCATTTAAAAGAAAAGAAATACAAGAAAACTCAGGAAAATTGCAGCATTTGTGGCTTAACTTTTACAAGCATTCATCAATTGAAAAGCCATGTAAGTCGAGTTCATCCAGGAGGGCATGATGATGGATTCAAAGTAAATCCATTGACTGGTCATTTTCACTGTGATACTTGTGGGGGACAATACAGATGTAGACAAAATTATAATATTCATCGTTGCATCGCTGGTGCCGGCAATGGACCGAATAAAAATGAATGTCCCGTGTGCTTCTCTAACTGCAGAACTCGTTCAAATACTATTAAACATATGCTAGAGTCGCATGCTGAGAAATTGAAGAATCTAGGATGGAAATGCCTTGTTTGTAATACAATCGTATTAAGGAAAATTATTCTTCATATTGAGTCAGTTCACACATCAAATTCTTCAAAATGTGGCATTTGTAACAAAACATTGAAGAATCGTAGATGTTTAGTGTAATAAATATTTAATTCAATTTGGTTTATGATGATATTTAATTTAATTTAATTTTTTCTAGAAATCACATGTACGTCGTTCATGAGAATGGAAGTGAAATTCGTCGACAGCAAAGGAAGGCGAAGAAAATATTAGCAAAAGTAAGTCAACCAAGTTAACAGAAATGAAACTGATTGTCATCAATTTTACAAACCAGAATTGAAATAAACTAAATAAATAAAAAATTCGTAGCGATAATTAAATAATGCTATGATGTGTTTTCAATGAATTTATTTCACTCAAAATTTTAGACAATCTCCAACATTGTTGATATAAATTTGCATAACATTTTAAACCTTAACAACACCTCTTCCAATATTCCTTCCTCGAAGCACATCAATGAAAGCTTGTGGAATGTTATCAAATCCTTCGAAGATGGTCTCATGGTACTTTAATTTCCCTTCTTGAATCCATTTAAGGTTTTGATTTATGCCTTCCATCCAGCGATCTCCATAGCTGTAAACAACGAATCCTTGCATTTTCAATTGCTTCAATATCATATGCTTCCATGGCGATGTTATTTTCACTTCCGTTTCACTATTATATTCAGCAACAGCACCACAAACAGATATCCGACCAAAATTGTTCATTTGACTTATAATGATTGAACTCAATTCACCTCCAACATTATCGAAATAACAATCAACTCCTTTTGGTGCTGCTTCTTTCAATGCTTTCCTCATATCTCCAGTTTTGTAGTTTATGGCTTTATCGAAACCCAATTCGTTCTCAATCCATTTACATTTGTCATCAGATCCAGCAAATCCGATGACTCGACATCCTTTAATTTTTGCAATTTGGCCAACATGTGAACCAACACATCCAGCTGCAACAGTTACAACAACAGTTTCTCCTTCCTTGGGCTTACAAATATCTAATAATCCAAAATATGCGGTATTTCCAGGCATTCCCAAGTATCCAACTCCTAATGATGGCGACAATTTCCCGAAATCAGGAAGAGTATAAAGATTATGTTTAGCGTAATTTTCTGGTTTAACTACGGTGTGAGACCGCCATCCAAAAGAACCATAAATTGTTGCACCAATAGGAAAGCTTTTGTTTCTTGTATCAACAACTCTGTAAGAAAGATTTTAGAAACGAAATTTAGTAAAAGATCGCGATTGAATCAGGTTTAGTGTATTACTTGGCTACTTGAGCTGCATGAACGGTTGATCCAATAGGTGTAAAATCAAGATAATATCTCAAGCCAGCATTCATTCCAATAAAAATAGCAACCACTGAAAATTCTCCATCTTGCAATGCTTCAAGTTCTTCTTCCTTCATTTCAAAATCTGACAGCTTTGGTTCACCTTCACATTTTTTAGCGAGAACAAAAACTTTTGCTTTTTGAACCATTTTAATAAAATTCACAAAATTCCGGTTAACTTCTATCACAATCTTGCTGAAATATTGAGATATTACATTCAATTCAAAACCTTGATTAGTATAATTTAATTCTTATCTACGTACAAAATTTTTTATGATTAAATATTCCTGAAGACCAACACTGTTGTGAGAAACGTGCGTTTATTAGAAATCAGCTGATGCATAAATACATTTACGAACTCATCCTCTTCATTTTGGAACTGAAAAGAAATATGCTATATCTAACTCATAATAAATCTTGAATCATTTCAATTTGTTTAAATTTATTCTTTGTATTTTATTTTCCATGTTTCTTTCATTTATCACAAGATATTTTAAAAACAATAAATAAATACAGAGACCAGAATTAGACATTGAAACTTAAAATATTTCCTACTTAATTGAAGTTATTTTTAAATTCAATTTATAATAAAAAGAGCCACAAAGTGTTAGAAATGATGAAAACTTGCTTAAACACTGTAGCTGCATTTTATTTTTGATCATTCCGAAAATGTATGAGCTCTTGCTTGAGATTCATAATCAAGCAATTATGTAGGTAGTTTAAAATATTTCCACATACATCACCAATCAGATTTGATATCTAAATTATGCTAACTCTTGATTTATAAATAATTTTAAATAATGTGGCAAAAACAAGATTACAGGCAACAGAATAAGTTTTCTGACAGCTGGTCAAGATTTAATACTTCTAATTTGTATATCTTTTTTTTTGTAGAGTTCTAATATCTAAATTAAGAATTAAATATCTTTTTTGTTTTCTTCATTCTTTACTCTACTTTTGATTTAAAATATTTCTTAAAGATAACTGGTGACAACGCCAAAGTTGAAAATGCAAACAACATAAGTATTGAGCCCCATGAGAATGATATCGATGAACTTGTCATCTTATAAAGAGTTTTTCCTGCTTCAATTGCAAGGAATGATGGCGGTGCGACACTGAAAAGATATTGAAAATCGTGTAAAGAATTTTTATGTTTTTACTTATTAAATCTTTGTAAACTCACCCAAAGAAAGTCCCAAAAGTGAAAGGAAATATGGGAACACCAATCACTGGCGCAACTAAGTTAATGAACCAATTTGGCAGTAATGGTGTCATACGCAGAAATAAAATGTAACTAATCATGTCATCTTTATGTTTTTGCACTTGTTCCGCCCATTGTTCAGCTCGCTTTGGAAAATAATATCTAACTAATCGGCGTCCAAGAAGAAGCGATAGGAGATAACAAAGCGTAGCACCTGCAGCTGAGCAGCTACATATCAATGCAAGTGCCACAGGAAATTTAAAGAGAAATCCACTCAGAATAGATAAGAACAGACTGCCAGGTATCGCAAAAGTTTGTAAGCTAAAAATATGAAATTAAAAAAATCGTTTAAAGTGATAAATAATTAAATACTCACAATATGTAGAGAAGACAAATGCCGGTCATGACTTCAAAATAGTATAGATCTTTATATCTATCCAATAAGCGTCCTAGTTCTTTACAAGATTCAATATCAAATGGAATCTTTAATTTCTCGCGTTCTGATCTTTGAACGAAAAAATTATTACGTAAAATAAACATAAAATATTTTCATACATTTGATACTTACTCTTCTAGTTCAGGAAAATTCTTGTAAATATAAAACATTGCAACAATACTTGTACAGAAAATTGTTAGAAGAATCATAATCGACTTCTTTGTTTGAATTTCATCATTTTTCAATATCACATTTGGTTGTTTATTTACAAGATATCCATTCATGTGGTTTTGCTTTGGTTTGTATCCATTAGAAACATTATTATTGTTGTTTGCTAAACACTCAAAAGGCCCATTTATTTCTTCACACGTCATGACTTTAATATTATTTATCTGAAACGAGTTCATAAACATTAAATTTCGCTAAAGTTTTAAAGTTGTTGTTGATTTTGTTTCGTGAATATCGTATGATCGTTTGGTATGCAGAGACAAAAAATTGAAGTAATGTTAAAGTAAATCTGACGAAAGAGTTTTAACATTGAAACAAAATAAGTTTATATTAATATTTATAAAAATAATCACGAGACACCAATTACAGTTCCCTCCAAATACATATTTTGTGTACATTCATCATGTATCCAAGAAACGAAAAGTAAATTTATTCAATTTATAGCAAAGAAGTAATTTCAATTACCGTCTGTATTAGATTGTAATCAATGAAAGTGAAACTTGTTCACTTTTCTTCACAACTACGATGTAACGTAATAGCTATTTACTTTATAGTTTATTGTTTCAGTCAAACATTTCAGATTTTTTTTTGATATTTCTACAATTTATATTGAGATTAAACAGCAAGTATCCCTCACCTTCTGTTAAAAGCTTATTGCGTTTTTTTATTAGTTTTAATTAAATGACGTTTTTTTATAAACTTAAAATTTGTTCAAGAACAAAGAATTTAATTTTTTCTTATAAATTCTACACAGGTATGATGCACATAAGATATTAACCACTTTTAGATTATGTTTCTTTTATTTTTCATTGAATTCAAATCACATTGATAATAATTAGTAAATACAACACATTGCTAACGATTCTTTATGATGTCTTACCAAGAATTTTAGTAAAATAGTTTTTACTTTTTATAGAATGATTTGCTAGAAAATTTCGAATATTCGATCACAACTAGCGAACCTTTCGGAATTTTTTTGAAACTCCATAAAGGATGTCCAACTACAACAAATAGGTATGTTCCCTAAATGATTCCTTAATTCAACACTTTTCTAATAACATGTTTAATTAAAATTTATACAGTTTTATCTCCTCTATGAACCGGCATTTACACATTCTTAATTAAATAAGACATTTCCAAGATATTCATGATTACCGATCCTTTTGGGATCATATACCTAATTAAAAGAAAAGATTAGTTTAAGTGAAAAAATTAGCCTGTGAATACGCAGTTCTAGGTAGGTAGAAAAAGAGTCAGTAGGGAACATAAATTTATTGCTACCTAAGCTGGTGGAAAAATAAATTATAATAAAGCCTTATACAAAAAGATTTAGGTTTAGAAACCCTGATCAAATGTGTGCTTGTGTGCCTCAACTGTTTACATTCTCTCACCATTTTCTTTCATCAGCTGTGGCCAAGTCAACGCTCAAAAATCAGTTTCTCTTTTATTCGAAGAAAGCATTCGTCGCGAACAGACCTATATTGAACATTTGTTTTGTGAGCTTAATAATTTAATTTATTTGCAAAATATTTTTCGGTCTTAAGTGCATCATTTTTGCATGTTTGATTAGCGTCATCTTAAAATTCTATATTTTATCAAACGTGGTATTTGAGGATTTTTAATTCAGCAAAGTTAGTGAAAATGAAAAATTAAGTGAAAGAGAAATTGAGACAGAAAGAAAAAAGTTCGCAAAATGGAATATCTTCAAAAGATACATGATATTGATGACTAAACTTTAAGAGACACAAAGAAAGACAAAAGAAATTCAAATTTGAAGCCACGTCGGACTCTGTGTAAGTCAATGATTTAATTTATTTTAACATCGGACTTTGAGCTCATGACGGAATTCTTATGAAAAATTTTCTCAAAGAAAAATAAACATTTTCGCACTTCTTACTGAGTGAACGATAAATATCTGCCGAATTGTATCAAATAATCGCCACGACACAAGTCCTAAACCAATTTCTCTGTATATACTCGCTTGAAATTCACAAAAATTTCCACAAACGTGTTTACAATTTCATTTGACACAAAAAATATTTATTGATTTTTTTTTTGTTGCTTTCGATTTGGAATGCTCACCAGAAGTGAATTCCTAGTGAAAAATTCCTTAGAACGTTTACATTTCTTTTAAATTTCACGGTTGGCTTGATTTCCTCACATAAATCAAAAAAAGTTCTGTTTGATGTCATAGAACTGTGTAGTCTCTCAAAGCGATAAAATATTTTCGGAAAAAATCAATCAATTGTGAAATATTGATCTGTAAAATAATTTCAGTCTGATATTGAAATTTACTTACAATTTTCATAGCATTTTCCCTACATTCTCACATTTTTCACGGTTATGAAACAGAACAAAATCTAAATATTTCCTGTTTCGCAAACAGGAAATCAGCGGAATTAAATTTCTAATGGCATCAGATGATACTTAAAAATGACTCGTTTTATGTCCCAATGTGGGTTTGGCACAGAATCGAAGTATTTTCTCCGCGAATTTTGTCGCATTTTGTTTTCTCATCTTCCTTGTTTCAGGTTTGTTGAAACTATAGAATTTGTTTTTCTCTAAATCTTGAACGTTGCAGTGACAACGAAAGCAAAATAAGCAGAAACTTATAATTATAGATAATATTTTCCCTCGTAGTAAACTGATATTTCTTTTCCTGTAGCAAATTTAAGCTGATACAGCAAAATAAAAACAATAAACTCGCGGAATGAAACTCGCTTCTCTGCAAATTGTCATTGAATTGATCCAAATTTTGCAAAAAGAAATTCTTTTATTTAAAAATATATTCAACAGTGCATCACGTGAAATCTAGCAGATTGATGAATGAAAATGAAATGAAAGGTTCACTCTGTGAAACGTGATAAATACTGAAATTCTTCGCTTGTTCTTATTTTTCTTCAAAAAATTTTTAAACAAAATCTTTCATAGTCTTTCAATACGATTCATTTAAGAAGTTTCAATCATCTCGATATTTGCAAGAACTTATTAAAAAAAATTATAATCGTATGTTATTAGGTTTTCAATTCTATTTTATCGTCGATGGTCCAATTAAAATGATTAATCAAAGTCTCCTGTAGATATTTGTGGTATGCATAAGTATGGTTAATATCAATGACCTCAAACATGACCAAATTGAAAGTTGTCTTAAATAATTTGAAATTGATATACATACATAAAATAATTCATTAAAGCTATTAAATCATCAATTTACATCGACATGAGTAACAGCAGTCGACTGTTTGTTCAAATTTATCGAGCGACAAATATGTTTTTAATTATTTTAATATTACACGAAACATTATTTTCCCTATAATTCTTGTATAATTTAATTAGATGTTTACGCAGAAAATCGGGTTTCACTTAAAATGTGAATATTCAAGCATTCAAATCATGCAAATTTATATTATTTAGGTACTTCAAAAGACTCCATAGAAAATGACAACATAATTATCTAGATTTCTTTCGTAAATGTCATGTAATTTCATATCATGCAGAAAGAAATGATTTTCTGTTATTGCCATTTTCAACAGACATCGACTTCTGAGAATTGAGAGAATTGAGAGAGCGAAGCAAATGTTTCATCATAATGACGCAATTTTATGAAAAACTGAAACATTTCTTCAATGTTGCTGAACGGAGAATATTTAAACTAGAAAAAAAATTGTATTAATTTATGTGTGAAGCCTTTTGAACTTCAATTCTGATGTTTAACCGGTTTATTCTCAACACACATTTACATTTTATGAAAAGCATGCTTTTAAATATTTACTTCTTCGTTTCAGTAAGGACCGCGATTTTTGAACAGTAAAAAAAATCACTCGATAAGCACGTGATCTCTTGCTGACTATGAAATGAATCGTTTACTTGTAGTTTGATGTGTTGAATGATAGTGAAACGTGAATAAAAATTGAATCTGTCATTTGAGACATTTTATGAGCCATTCAATGAGATAGTTAACAAACACATGACAACAGTTCCTAATTGATTTTATTGATTAGCATCAACAAACTTGTTTTGACGAATTAAAATTTCATTTTTATTAAGTATAATTTATTGTTATATGTAAGCTGTTTTAAGTAGGCAGATATTATTCGTTAATTAAATGTTGGTGCGCTATCGCTGATTGATTTAGTGTTCTATTTTTGGATATATCCAATCAATACTTGATTGTTTATTACGATATTACGAAGAATCCCTGAGTTGACATGGTTATTGCTAACACATGGTGTTGTACTTGAGCACTTTTTATCTTTTACATGAGAAATATGAGCCCTAGGAAATGCATGTAAACAGGCATTCTATTTCGCCACGTTTTCGGTATCAACGTTTTTTCGCGCGTGATTTATACATTTATTGTTCAAATACGAGTGTGATTCATAATGCTCGATTTATTACTTCCTTTTAACTCTTGTTAATATTAAGCAGAAACAAATATAATGATAAGAAAAACGTGAGATTAAATATTTTAAATTTCGAGGAAATAAAAGAAAAGTATGTTTTTAGACAGTTAATTAAGTTAATTTGCAGATGCAGAAAGCGAAAAAAAATTATTCATTTAGTGAAATATATTAATCTGCTTTGTTAGGTTCAAAACTATTTACAATAAAAAACCTATGTGCTTGCTTTCTTATTGTTTTCTCTTATTTTCTGCCGTAAATCACAAATATCTTTCGTTATTGTTAATTTGTTTGAATAAATTTTAAACTTTGCAAATAAAATAAAATTTTAATCATTCAAGTTTTGTTATCGTAAAATATATTTTAAATGCACGTTTTCGGTTAAGTACCAAAGCGATAGTTGTGTGTTCAACTGAATTGCGCCAGAATAAAAGTAAATTTATGACGAATGGAAAATTTTACGAGAATGAAGAAGAAAAGGGATATTTTGAAAACTATTACAACGAACTGCAGAAGTCTTTCAGTGTGTTACCGGCTTATAATCACGATCACGCAATGTTTGAATGTCCACACATCAGTCGACTTTGTTAAAATTCCTTAGGAACATATTTAAGCTTGTTAGCCTGTGTCGACCCAATAAACATTCATTGACACTAAACAATATGAAAGCGTACCAATTCAGTTCGTTTTATCGATACAAATTAAATATACGTACATGATAAGCATCAACAAATGGAATGTCATGACTCATGTTGATGATGATGAACGAAAACAACTTTTTAAATATTTTCAATGAGAAAAACCATTTAAAGAAACGACTCAACTGTTTCGTGACAGCAACTATTTAATAAACAATTTCATTGGTAAAATTTTTATACACGCTTATTTGTTTAACAAAAAAAAATCTGAAAACTTATCGATAAAAATCTTAATGACAGCAGAACGATTGATGACATTTCTACCAAGAAATTTAATGAACTTGTTATGAAGAAACTTAAACCGCTTACAGCTAGAAGTTATCTTCTGACCACTGAAGTGGTTCACAGATTCATAATAAAACCATAAAGTAATAAAAAATTGATTTCTTAAGGTTCTTCTTCTCTTAAAAATGAATCAGATAAATGTATACCCACTTAAGAAATAACTTGTCGCAGGTTAAAAACAGTTTTAATCAGTTGATATTGAGATTATTATCAATTTCACAAGCTTACACAGTGTGCAATTGAGCAATGTTCTTATCAGTTTTTTCACCTGAACTCGATAATGGAACTTTGAAACATTGATACAATCCTTCATTGGGACAATGTAATCCTACTTTATAAATAAGTTAGGCAAACTCTTCGTGCATGTAATGATTGCGTGTTCATGTGGTTCTACTTGTGAGTTACAAGTCGGTTGACAAATATGCTTGTTATGCGTAAAAGAACTTTTAAAACCATATTTATGTTGTAATTATTACAATTAGTAGCTATAATCTGATAATACCACAAAATGATATTGTTTCTGACATTTCTACTGAGTTTTGGTATGCAATAATGTTTTGTTATGCAAATAGGATTTTGTATGCTTCTTTGTAAAAAGCTTAAACAATAAAAATGAACAGAGAACGACATTTGCTTTCTTGACATTCACCTACATGCATAAATAAATAAGTGAAAGATTATTAAAATTTTATGAAACAAAAATACGGTCGATATTCTTCTTGTTTATAAATATCCTAAGATTGCGTAATTATTTCTTTTAACCATGGATATTCGTGAATATTTGTGATCTCTGAACTAGAGACCTTCTATTCCATCTGGATTTCGTAGCGGTTGGTGAAAGCAATGAAAGAGTTTTTATCGTTTAAATAGTTATCTGCTTTTCTCTTTCCTCTCTGTTTTGATGCTTAATTTCACTTATTCATATGTACATATAAGTATTGTTGTGATAAGCTAAAAGCTTGTAGTGAAATACTTTTATTTAAAACATATTTGATAACAAGAAATGAGGGAAATGTTTGAAACATAAATTCAGAAAGAACATTAACTGCTTTAATTGCTTAACTGTCAACATTTTAATCATTCTGCCGATGCACAAAAGAACCATCTAGGCAGTTTATTATCAGCGTGAAATGTCGTAGCCGTCACATTTAAATTACTCATTTGTTTCAATAAAATGTTTACAATCTCTTAAGAAATGTTTTCTTTCGTCTCTTTTCATGAAAATTTACTGCCCACCAACATCAAAAACATCAACAATAAAACTTAATGAAAATAACAACAGAATGGAGCCGTTGATAAAACAAAATAACAAAAACAAATTATTTGACAGTTCCATACATAAAACTAAAGCCGAGCCACTCAATGGTAATCAGCAGCAAGAAAACAACCAGCAATATTCTGTTTATTATTTAAATTCATATCGGACACATCAGCAACAAAAGAAAATCGCTAAAGAGCAACAGGCACGCGATAAACACGACATCAAAATAAATTTCTCGGATGTTGAACATCATCAGTTATTTAGAAGCCAACAACTGTTAATTTTATGATAATTACTAAGCCTCGGCTTGAGTTTTTAAGTTGCTTCTACTTTATTATTATCGCTCACTGTTTATCATCAAGACAAGCAAGGAAGCATCATTAGCAAGAGTAGTAAAGGTCCGAGATAAAGTGAACTATTCGCAAACAGAAATTATTGGCGATAAGTCAAACCTTTACTTCAATACATACTTCAATCAAATCAATTAGTAAGAAAGTGAACGCAAAACATCTGACGACAATTTCTCACGTACTTCAACAACACAGACCTACGAAGTTAACGTTCAGTTAATAAATTATTTATGAGTTGTCTCAAAAAATAGTTTGCACTGAGGTTAATTAGCAACAGCTTTTCAAGAAATAAAAAAAAACTTAAAATCAAGTGTTTGAAGAATTGATTCATTGTGTGCTAAATTGTTTGTGCTTTAAACATATTTTTCTTCCCTAAAACAAAAAGAAATATACAAAAACAGTTTTTTGAGACATTATAACGAAATGGAGAGAATAAGGCAGACGAGAAAAGTGGCACCGGATGGAGGATTCGGTTGGGTGGTGACATTTGGAGTAAGCTTAGTCAATGTGAGTATAAATAGAAACATTTCATATTTGATCTTGAAAAGTTTTTTTTTACTTTTCTTTATATTAAATAAGAGTACAAACAAATCGATAATTATTGAGTTATTAACTTTTTTTTATATTTCAGTTGGCAACAAGATCTATCGAACCATCATTTGGTTTATTGTTCGGTGATTTACTTAAAGATTTAGATGTTGGCACGACTGGAGCTGCTGTTATTATAAGCACGCTCGATATAATGATGAATCTTTCGGGGCTTTTTGTCGGTCCATTACTCAAGGAATTCTCATATCGCAAGGTAGCAATTGTCGGGTCGTTGTTATGCGCTGTTGGCCTTGCCTTAACATCAACTGCTGGAAGCATGGCTCATATATTGACAACTTATTCAGTAATCAACGGTGAGTTGAAGTTTATTTACTTTTGTTTCCTATAAGTGTCTTCTATAAACGAAGAATAATCATTGGCAAATATATTTCTACACCTAAATGCTTAACAGAAGTTTCATTTTATCGATATTGTTGTTTAGTTGTGCAACTGACTTTTTTTTTCCTTTCTCAATAAATCAAACCTTGGCAGAGAAAAAATGAAGATTCGTGACCTTTCTTAACGTACTTGAAACACAAAGTAACAATAAATAAGAAAGGCAGTATTATAAGAATGTTTTGAAAGTTTTCCTATGTAGATCATAAATTTTTGTTACTTCTTTAAATATGTATCTGAATATCATCCTTGCAATATATGCTGAACCTCATTGTAAATGATTACGTAATTTCCTTGTGTTGTTGGATTGAAATGAAGGAAAAAACGAGTTTCTTCTAAATGAGTTTTTACCAGAACGTCATACGATTCTTCTCCTTTTCTTAAAACCGGTTTTTCCATTGACTTGATTGAATCTCATAAATGACGAAAAGAACATATTTCATCTCTTTCGATTGTTATTTTCCTTATGTAGCTTCCGATTTTTCTAGAATATGATTAACATAGTTATAAGCGTATTGATTTTTTCTGTAGATATTGACGCAACGCAAGAAAAAATATATTTGAAAGGTTTCAATGCTGTTGACATAATTCACTTTTCTCTTTTTCCATTCGATTGGTTTTTCATGCGATAAAAGGCCTTGAACTTCACGAAACTCTCACATTATGCTTTTCTCGTACCTTTTACGTTAATTACAGTTTCTTCTACTTTCAATCTTTCGATCATTGAGAAATGAAGGTACGTGATAGTTCCTTGACTTTTAAACGACATTGAATAATTTCATTTCAAAAACAATTTCTTCTTTCGGTGCCTCTCACTGGAAATGTTTTTCGACATCTTTTGATGTTTTTATAACATTTTTTCCCTAGAAAACAAAATTATCCTTTGGCTGTGAGATGTGTCACGAGTTTTTTTTGGGTCGTGTAGCGCCACAATTCTTATTCATACTCTCGTCAACAAAGGAAAAAAGTGACTTTTAGAAAAGCACAATAAAAGTCAAATGATAAACTCAGAGTAGTTTTATTTTCGTATTTTAGCAAAAGTTTGTTGATTTACAATTTAAGTTGTGCAAATATCAAATCAGATATTTATGATTGTTCATGATTCATGTTTTGTATTTCAAAAATAAACAGTTTAAGCTTCCCTTGTCAATGTATATTGTGGAGTTACCAAAAAGCTTTTTATTGACTTTTGAAGATGAAAATATTCATGAAATTCTTAAATTATTTCTTAGGTATTGGCGTGGGACTTGCAATGAGTGCCGCCTTTGTTGCCCTTAATCATTTCTTCGCAAAGAAGCGAGGTCAAGCTGTGGGCTTATCGATGGCTGGTACAGCAATTGGGATGTTGATTATGCCACAATTGGTACGTTTTTTACTGGAAGAGTTTTCATTTAGAGGATCTGTGTTGGTTTTGGCTGGATTAGCTTTGCATTCAGCTGTTGGATCGATTTTACTGCAACCAGTAAAATGGCATTTAAAAGATGAAGAAGTTGATGTTGAAATGTTTGAAGCAGAAAACCCAACTTTGGGGATTATCCAAGAAGATGATGGCGATGAAGATTCTCTTCCTGAAATTCAAAGTCTTCTATTCAAAGACCATAAGCATCGTGAAAGAAAAATCTCTGAAACTAGCAATGGAAGTTTACTGGCAGTTCCAAATGGCATTCCAAAACGACCAACATTCCCTCGCATAACAAGTTCACATAGCATGGGCCCAAAAAGAACTCCAACATTACCCAAAATTACATCAACTGCTGATATGAATCAAATGCTTAGAAAGAGGAAGGAATCAGTCATTTCGTCATTGTCACTTCTTGATTTCAGTGGAAGTTGCTTACAAATTCATTTGGAGGTATGAAAACTTAAAGAAATCACAATTTAGGTATTCACATTGAATTATTCAATTTTCAGACTGGTGACAAAGATCAGGAAGAAATGGAATCTCATATTCGACGTGTGAACACTCATGTAGGCACGTCTATCTTCCGTGACAATCTCAACTCTTCTTTTAAAATGAGTAAATCTGACATTAATCAAAAGTTTTCCTGTCCCGACTTCATTCAAACTGATATTGGTCTTGAAATGCCCGAACCGAAAAAAGAATCATTTTGGAGACGATTTGCAAAGTGAGTTTTAAAATATAAAAATTAAATTGAATCGATCAATGATTTAATAATATTTTAGCTTAATGGATATTGGATTACTAAAGGATGGAACATATTTGAATATCCTGTTTGGATTGTCTATTTTCTATGTCGCTGAAATGAACTTTAAAATGGTCACACCTTTCTTTCTTGCCAGTTTGGGCTATACAAAAGGAGAAACTGCTTACTGTCTGAGTATTTCAGCTCTCACTGACATTTTAGCTCGAGTGATTGTCCCACCAATTTGCGATAAAACAAATGTATCGAAAAGAAAAGTATTCATGGTCTCATTACTTTTTGTTGCATTAACTCGATCGAGTAAGCAAAATGAAATTTCAATTTTATAATTTCTTTAATCTATTTTATTTTTCATTTCAAAGTTGTTGCAGAGCAATCTGATTTAAAAGCTATGTTGGCTTGGCTTTGTATCGCTGGTTTCTTTCGTGGAATTGCACTCAGTAACTTTACCCTTACTGTTAGTGAATATTCTTCACTTGAAAAGCTCCCTGCTGCCTTTGGATGGCATATGGTTGGAAAAGCTATTTTTGTCATAATTTTTGGACCCTTGATTGGCGCTATTCGTGATCTGACTGGATCATTTCCCATCTGCATTCATTCACAAAGTGTTTGTATTTTAATTTGTATTTTCGCTTGGATGATTGAATTCATTATTAAGTATTTAAAACGAAATGAGAAGCAACACGTCCCCATCGCAATAATTTCAACAGAATAAGATTAATTTTTACAAGTTTTCCTTTGATTTCAAGAATGGTCGAAAATAATGTTTTGCCCCTTAAAGTTAGACAATTTCGCTTACTTGAACATTTTCATTAGATATTTGAAACTTCAACAGCTCTCATAACTTATGCAACCATCCATACATAAACATTGCTATAGCATTAAGAAAAATGTTTTTATGATAAACATGACCGATCCTTATCATTTATCTCTCTCTTTTAGAAATTATATCCAGATATCTCTTACTTAGTGGTAAAATTTAGTAGCCAATGAATTTTCCTTGTATGTTTAGAACTTGACTTTGTTTTGGTATGATTTAAATAGAGATTCCTTAAATTTAAAATGAAAAATTTTATTAGACAACAGTATTCGTGAAATGTGTAGTTCTAATAGTTTTTAATTAAATAAGAATGTGTTTAATAATAACCTAATAACTTTGAAATCGTTAGACTGATTATTTGAGCACGTTGAAGAAGAGATTTTTAAGCAAAAATTCCTTCAATAGTTCACACTTTGATAGCCCTAAAGAAGGCCCTAACTTTCTGAATATAATTAGATATCAACACATGAACTTTAACATAATCGAATTCGTGTCCAAAATACCTAAATAAAATCTTATATATGTAGAACCTAAAATCATCTAAATTAAATATCATCGTCTTCACCCATTCGGACTAATATTCGATCATCTTTTAACATAAAATAACAAAAAAATTAACAAGAAAATATTTTACCTGATAGTGGAAAATTTATGTAGATATACTTGCATACATATTGCTCTTAGGAAAACAAAGAAAAACTTGAATTAAGTGGATTTTTTTTTTTGTTTCGTAAAAAAGAAATATGGTGAAATTACTTAACTGATAGGGTGGCAAATAAAAAGAAAGAAATAAAGATATAACTACCTAATAAATGTTGATTATCATCATCATCATCAGAGTAGGGAGTGCACGACTGTACACTAAAGCGATTAAGAATACAGGAATAAAATGTTGATTAACATTCACACAGAATTTCTTTAAATCTTCTGTTTCTTCTCTGAATTGTTTTCATACCTGATCTGTTTTAATGATCCCTTCTGATTGATTCAGTTTGGTGATACTAAACGCATAAAAAACACATAAAAATATTCCCTTGATTGCGTAACATTTCCTTTCATTAAGGTCGTTTACGGTGTGAAAATGGATGTTAAATTCTTTCTTTTCCGGTAAGAAAAAAGAAACAATCAAGCGAGACAATATTTATTTATGACTTCTTTCAGGATTTCATTAATTAAACTCCACAACTTTTGTTTCAGGAAACTTAAAATTAAATATTTTTATTTTAATTTAAACCATCAAAGAATTTTAAATAATTAAGATTTAATAAATGATCCTGAAAACCTCGCCAAGATTAAGTTATTAGATTTGTTAAAATATAATTTTGAGAGAAGAAAAAGAGTGCAGTAAGTACCTAATTGAAATAAATTTTAACAAGAAATTATAAAGTTAAGTCTTTTGAGAGTTTTTTCGTTGGTGCTCTGTTGTCACTAAGTAAAAGTTTTCAAATTCTCTGCTTTTTCATTCCATAACATTAGTAACATTGCGAGGTTCAAGCCAAATTCTGAATCCGTCAGCTCTCTTCAAAATGATATCAGCTTGTAATTTGAAATCCTTTTCAGGAACTGTGCTCTTAATATGGAAGTTTCTCAAAATTGTGCTAAGTAAAACTTTCAATTTAAGCATCGCATACTTCCGCCCAACGCAGCTTCTCGGACCTGCACTGAACGGAATGTAACTATAGTAATGGCGATGTTGTGTTCTTTCGGGAAGGAAGTTATCGGGATCAAACTTCTCTGGGTTGTTATAGATATCTGGTCTTCGATGAATAATTATAGTGTTAATTACAACAGTTGATCCGGCAGGAATGATTAAATCTTGGGAAGCTAATTTCAAGTCTGTGTTGATTTTTCTTGCAATTATTGGCACTGGTGGATAAAGACGAAGTGTTTCTAATATAACTCTCTCCAGATATTTCATTTCAGTTGTGTCAGCAAATGTTATATCACGTGTTGAATTTCCAAAAATAGCTTTTTGCTCTTTCATGACTTTTTCTTGAATATCTTGGTGAACTCCAAGCATGCATAAAGTGAAGCTTGAACCAGCAGCAGTTGTGTCATGTCCCTCAAACATTATTGTGTCCACTTGTTGTTTGATTTCTTCATTTGACAATTGGTTAGGATTGAAATGGGAAGTTTCAATCATCAAGTCCAGGAACGCTAAGCGACGTTTTTCACCAATATCGTTCTCATCGATATCATCTAAATCATCACGTAAGCCTGTAACTTTGTTGGCTTTAGCTTTGGCCTTTCTTATAGCCTGATCGACTTCTTCGTTGACCTTAATGATGTCTTGAAGTGATGGAGATGGTAAATTTCCTTCTTCAAGATTTTTGTCGAAAACTGCTTTCTTTTCGTTTAGCACCTTAAAGAAAAATTGATTTAAAATATTTCAGCTGAAGAGATTTTTTTCTTACTCTTTGTGTCATTCCATGGATAATGCCAAGAAGTTTCTTTTGCTGCTTGCGCATGCCACTCATGGTGAAGAATGGCTCATATCTCGAGAAAACTTGCAACTGACGTTTATGTAAAATTTCGCACATTTTCATGACAGCCATTGCGTACCTAAAACCTTCTTCATCTTCACTGGTTCGTCTTGATCCCATTGCAGTCTCAAGCAAAATATCAACTGTAGCTTCACTCATGTAGTCGTGACAGTCGAACTCCTTTCCCACTTCTTTCTTCAATTTTGACACAACAAATCGGGCATTGTCATTAAAAGTTGGCATGAAACTCTTCAATACATTCATATGGAAAGCTGGTGCAATAAGTTTTCGGTGAGTTCTCCATTTCTCTCCGGTGCTTATTAGTAAACCATTTCCTAACCAAGGCTTAAAGTATCTGTATTCATCCGATTTGTCGATATGAACATGACTGCCAAGAATCAATTCAGCGTCCCGTGGGTCAGATAAGAAAACTGCCAATTTATGACCAATCCAAACACGAAAAACATATCCGTAAGTGTCAGCGACATTCATCGCTTCTCTGTACATTTCTATGAATAAAATTTAAAGGAAATATTTTTTAGATTTTCAAAGATAAACGTACCATCAATCTTTAAGTTAAAGAATAAATGAGCATTCCCGATCAAAGGAACAGTTGGAGGTCCACTAATAGAGTCACCCATTTTTCGCTCACGGCGCGTCATCTGCCAAAAATGTATGCTGGTCAGAATAACGACAATTGAAATGAGTGGAAAAAGCAAAGGTGACGTGAAAGTCAAGCCTTCTATCATCTTCTCCACTACCATGCTAGGATTCTTTTATATTTTGAAGGCAAAATTAAATGTAGAAACTTCACGTTCACTTGATTCAAAGAAATTCTTATTTTTATAATCTTGCTGACACTTATTTTAATACTAAGTATAGTATTATATTGATTGGGACTATTTATAGCAATTCGTAAGGAAATTGAATAAATCACAAATGATTTAATTATACAAATTACTTGAGGTCATTTTTAACATAATAAGGTGAGTCTGGTCAATGTTTTAACATTAAAATTCCTACTAAAATGTTTTTAAGTTTTTCATTAAATGTTTGAGTTTAAAACTATTAAAAGAACTTAAGAACCTGAATAGGACTGTTTGTGTATATAATAAAAAGCTAGAAAAATATTTCCAGAATAAGTTCCAAACTCATAATTATAACAGACTTAAGCAATCAAAGTTTTCATGAACCAATATTTCGTTCATCGATTTATGTCAAGCTACAAATGTAAAAAATCTTCCTGAAAGTTGAATTGAATTAAAAAATTTAATTGTTTTCATTTTTTCTGGAATCTTTATTGAGACTCCTTTTTATAAATGCATTTATTGAAAAGTTCTCAAAGTGTTAAGAATCACAGAAATTTGCTAATTGAGCTGACAAGTAGTTCGTTTTTTATAACGCTTTGCTAGATAGAAGTTGTTGAGAAAGAAAGGAAAGAAATAAGATAGATTTAAAGTTATAATTTTAAGATTTTTTCAGTTTTCATTGCGGTCGTCAATTGTGTATGTTCATGTTTCATTATTTCATGTTCTAATGAACTAAAGTTTTACGGGGTTCAAGCCAGATTCTGAATCCATCAGTTCTCTTCAAAATGATGTCTGCTTGCAATTTGAAATCTTTCTCAGGAACTGTGCTCTTAATATGGAAGTTTCGCAAAATTGTGCTAAGTAAAACTTTCAACTTAAGCATCGCATACTTTCGTCCAACGCAGCTTCTTGGGCCTGCACTGAACGGAATGTAACTATAGTAATGGCGATGTTGTGTTCTTTCGGGAAGGAAGTTATCGGGATCAAACTTCTCTGGGTTGTTATAGATGTCTGGTCTTCGATGAATTCTAAACGTACCAATAACCACCGTAGCTCCGGCAGGAATGACTAAATCTTGAGAAACTAATTTCAAGTCTGTGTTGATTTTTCTTGCAATTATTGGCACTGGTGGATAAAGACGAAGTGTTTCTAATATAACTCTCTCCAGATATTTCATTTCAGTTGTGTCAGCAAATGTTATATCACGTGTTGAATTTCCAAAAATAGCTTTTTGCTCTTTCATGACTTTTTCTTGAATATCTTGGTGAACTCCAAGCATGCATAAAGTGAAGCTTGAACCAGCAGCAGTTGTGTCATGTCCCTCAAACATTATTGTGTCCACTTGTTGTTTGATTTCTTCATTTGACAATTGGTTAGGATTGAAATGGGAAGTTTCAATCATCAAGTCCAGGAACGCTAAGCGACGTTTTTCACCAATATCGTTCTCATCGATATCATCTAAATCATCACGTAAGCCTGTAACTTTGTTGGCTTTAGCTTTGGCCTTTCTTATAGCCTGATCGACTTCTTCGTTGACCTTAATGATGTCTTGAAGTGATGGAGATGGTAAATTTCCTTCTTCAAGATTTTTGTCGAAAACTGCTTTCTTTTCGTTTAGCACCTTAAAGAAAAATTGATTTAAAATATTTCAGCTGAAGAGATTTTTTTCTTACTCTTTGTGTCATTCCATGGATAATGCCAAGAAGTTTCTTTTGCTGCTTGCGCATGCCACTCATGGTGAAGAATGGCTCATATCTCGAGAAAACTTGCAACTGACGTTTATGTAAAATTTCGCACATTTTCATGACAGCCATTGCGTACCTAAAACCTTCTTCATCTTCACTGGTTCGTCTTGATCCCATTGCAGTCTCAAGCAAAATATCAACTGTAGCTTCACTCATGTAGTCGTGACAGTCGAACTCCTTTCCCACTTCTTTTTTCAATTTTGACACAACAAATCGGGCATTGTCATTAAAAGTTG